ATAAGTTTCCAATAATACGTGTAGGATTCTTTCAAGAATCAAGTTTATAAGAATAAAAGCTTAATAAGCTTTGATCGTCATTTCATAAAAATTGAAAACACAACCGTTAAGCAAGCACTAAAGTCCAGCTTTATTCAGGCATCTGGCAACTCTAACCGAAGCTTTGAGCTAAGCTTTGAAACACCAACGCCAGATGACGCCAGCATGTACCGGCTTCTTCTTCGTTTCACTTCGTGGCACAAGATTCCATTTTGTGAGGGCCTGCCCGTGCAAGCCTCACCAGCACCAAAATCGCGATATAATGCTCGAAATGCACTACGCAGATCCCATATCTTCTTTTTCAGCTCAAGACGTAAATATAACTAAACGGGTGTAAGCCTCTGCATCGGGTTATAAACTCTTTCCCAGCTTCCACCTAAAAGGAAGAAGCATTTCCGACCCTAAATGTTACATATACTCTTGATATATTCATATATTCAGCACATTCAACCGATTCGATATATGTATAGCCCCGTTCGTTTTTCTGTAATGGGTATTCTAATTTCGCCCAGAAGTTTGGGTAAAACAGGCATTCGAATGGAGATGGGAAAGGGCTCTACTTCGTGTGTGGGAAGTCGTGAAAACTTTTGTGGAAAGTTTTGTAGTTTTTAACTTAAATAATTGTATATTCTTTGCTCGTGTCGTTCCGTGCCTACAAAAGCCAGCACGCTGCCATCGCTGCCATCTCTTCGAGGCAACGAAGCAGAGTCTGAGGCTGATATACCACGAAAAACTTTAACGCTAAAATTATAGTTTTAAGAGCCTAATTTGCAATTGTTGTTGACAACGCTAAGAGCAATACGTTGGGCAGAGCAATAAAGCGGGTTTAAATGCACACACGTTGCAAATCTTGTGGCACAGGGCTCACAGAGCACTCAATGGTTGGGCATCGGAAATCGATTTTGGCGCCCCATCCGCCGGCCTTGGGGACAAACACGCACACACAGCCATCCCTCCACACACGCACAGAAATGCCAAAAGCAATACTTATAATTAATTTAGAAAAAAAAATTGTCCCATCTGCCATTAAGAATTCTACAGAACGTCCGACAAACGAAATGAGCCAAAAGACAAATTTTTTTTGCACAATTAATTGTTGTTCGTGCGACTGCTTTTGTCTACGCAATTTTGTACTTGCTGGAGAGCGGCAGGGAGCGGGGTACAAACAAATTCAATAATAATTGTTTAACGGTTGTTCGCCTGCTTTGTTTTCGGTGTCTATGTAAATGTTTGCGGAAGGCATTTGCATAACATGCAGAGGCTCGCGGCTGCGGCTGAAGCCCTCTCTGATCGCGAATGAATCGATTCGGCAGCCGCATCGCCCAGAGATAATAAACCAGCCAATCTTTTGCATATCATTATGATCTGCTATGTGTCTGGACAAAAGACCAATGCAAATGCCCAAGCCGGAAGAAAAGGCAACGGCACACGCGGCGTATGATGGATTCTGTTGGAAAAGGAAACCTGCTCGCAGGGATTCACACACCAACCGACATTCACCCACATCTTATGCAGTCAAAAAGTATACGCCGATTGCCGCTGCGCTGGTTATAGATTCGCATATCGGACAAGCTAATCGACATCGAAATACACATTGCCATCGCAAGTTCAAGTTTAATTCGCCGGTGACACAGTTAGCATAGCCAAAAGTTGAACTGCGAGTGACCCCAGCCTTAGCCTCCGTCTCGGTATCTGTATCTGTGTGGTCTCATTAACCATCCAATACCGAATCAAAGTAGTCTTGACCCGGAAGTGGCGTTAATCGAGGCGCTGTGATCTTTGTGGATCGTTAGAATCGATTGAATCGAGCCCTAGGCCCCAAAAGAATTTGCATGTAAATTATTGGCCAGAGCGCGTGTCTCCTTGAATTAACTCGCTTTTAACGGAACTTTACATCTGAAACATCCACAAGAATTGTGCCAACAAATCCGTAAATTATTCGTTGCTATTAACGCTTTATGCTTGTTTAAATCAGTTCTGGCATTTACAACTCTTACAACTTGAGAATTTTGTGGACTGGGCAGTTTTCCGCAATGGCCAAAAAAGGTCAACAGAATTCTTAACCAGCTACGCATAAGCCCTAAAGAAACATATTGTTCTGGAGTTCAACATGATGCGGAAAGAAATCTAAAGAATACTCAATCTGGGTCAAGGCTGATCAATCTAAAATGGAATAAATCTCAAGCCGAAGCGATGAAAATGGAGGAATTGGAAGAACATGAAAGCGAAATCGAATGAAAATCTCATTCGGGTACCAAAAAGAGATTCTGTTTCAGAGATTCTTGATGAGGCAAGTAATAGATATTGAAAGTCGTATTCTCATCCTTTGATGTCCTCAACGAATGCTGCAACGCTATGTGCATATTTATTGAAAACTATTCAAGAATTATTTATGAATCTATCGGATTGTGCCAAAAGGCTGTACATCCAAATACAATAGAAAATAAATTAATATTCTGGCAAAATCAGGCAGCAACAACAACCGAACGCACATTCATTTAGAATCATAAACAAACACAGATAGAATTATGGCCAAAACCCTATAAGCTGTTGCCATCATAATTCTGAATTCTGAGTAGAAAAACGAGACCAGGCAATCGATGTGTTCGATGCGACTCGATCGCAGCCTCCAATCAAGCGGAGCGGCACAAAAGAACATTAGAGATGAGCAGACGCCAGAGGCCCCCAACAAAAGTTCCCCAGCAAACGGAGCAAATCGAAACAAAAACAAAAAACTGAAACCAAAATCGAAATCGAAACAGAAACAGAAACAGAAACAAAACCAATAGAGCCCCAAAAACAGAGCCAAAGAAACAGCGAAACCGAATCGAACCTTTAGACGAAATTTTTATACATAGCGCCGTGCAGCTCGGCGTAGCAGTTCAGTGCGCGTACAAGTCTCGTGGGTAGCGGATGCCAGCAAAGGTCTCTCTCTTCACCTCATATATACTATAGTACTACCACCATATAGTGCCTACCTTACTAGATCAGATCAGTCATAAGAAGCGACAGCAGCAGCAAAACAAAAAAACAGTTGTCATGGTGTTAACATTAAGAGTTGTCGTAAATTAAGTGCACGGCAATCGAAGCGATTGCAACAGGTGCCCCAAAAGCTCTCCAAAGTGTGTGTATGTGTGCGTGTGTGTGTGAACTATCAGATCAATCAAATGTATATATATATGTAAATTAAGAAGAAGAATCAGAAGGAGATGAAAAATCTTAGAATCCGAAACTTCTCCGCTAAGAAAGGGCATTTTCCCACATTTCCCTGCCAAGGTCAACTGTTGCATAATATTCGAAAATTGAAAATTGGCAATATTTGGTCTGGAATTGAGCAACAGTTGACACAGTATTGTGTGCGTTGGCTTTAGGCGTGGTCAAGGCCCATAGCCCAAAAAAAGAAATCCAAAGATCTTCAGAAAGAGAGCCGCCGACTATTTGGCAAGTGACTAGCCAAGTGGAAATGCCCCATAAAATTTGTTGACAACGATCAGCCAGACACGACGGAGCATTAGGCTGGACTGCCAGGTTTCCCAGCAATGGCACCAGAACTGGCCATAGACTGAGGCAAGGTCGTGCAACGATTTTACCAATTGATAAACTGGATTTTGCTTGGAAATATCTGTGGGACCACAAAAGCGTTTAGCACCTTTGCTATCGTGCTGTCACTTATCGCCCCATTTTTCAGCCCCATTCTGCCTTGATTGCTGCAGCTAATATTCATGAGAGCAAGTGCAGGAAATGGCTGGCCGAAAACCACAATAGCCAAACCCGTTGATAGTCTGGCTGTTGACCAACTTGCCCTTCAAAATATTTATGCCTCATTTATTATTATCTCAATTTGTTCCTCACTTTGCACACTTCACATCTCTTGAGATCGCTCTCGAGATGAAAAGCCCAAGAAGCTGATCAGAATAGCCTCGAAAACGAGCAAAGAAATAAAAATCTTATGCGATTGTTGGTAGCTCAAGAAGTTGTGTTCGGTATTTCTATGGGCCTTAATCGGTCTTTTGCCAAGTTCAAGTGTGAAACTGGAAGTCAATGAACGTCATTTCATAATTTCGTATAATTAGATGGAGTTGACTGCTTATTGATGGTATGATCCTGCTGAAATAAAGAGGATTTTAGGATGATAAAGAGGACTTAGGATAGAGAACCTTAAAACACTTTAAGCTGCACATTCAATGCAGAGTTCCCTCTTCATAAATGATGTAGAATCCTTCAATTTTAAGAAAGTTTTGGGTTCTAAATTAATAAGGCAAGTTTCCAAAGAGGTAAAAATCCTATGGTAAGAGCATTCCGTCTTCGATGCAATTCCAAGGGGAACTCCAATCTGATTTTGTTGTAGATTTTAGCTCAAAGAGGAGCCAAAACAAAAAGCTCAACACAAAATTAATTTGTTTCGAGTTTTGGGGTGTTTCGAGTGTGTTGTGTGTGGGCACCGCATCTGCTGTGTTCGTTCCACACGTGAGACGCCACGGCGTCTCGGAGTCCGTCCCAATTTGCTGGCGGGTCGTGAGGTAACCATCGCCTCCCCGTGTGGTGACCACCACCAATTTGTTGTGTGTTTTGTTTGTTGTTTAATTCATAATAATGAATATAATTTACTGTTACTGTTACATGATAATTTTATGACATTTCACCTCCGCCAGCGAACGGCGACAGCTTTCAGTATCTGCCGCACCAGAAAAGAGAAGATGAAATAAAGACAAAGGTCTTGGTCACTCTGCAACCAATTGTTATTCTGTTTCGGCTTTGATTATTAGTATTATATTTATTCAGCTTTCGGAACTCCCGGCAACAGTGCCCCGCCTTCCCGCCATCCCACCATCCCGCCATCCCGACATCCCGCCATGACAATCAATTACTAGTGGATGGCATTAACATAATTTAAAATACAAACTTGAAAACCTCTTTCGCTCATCCAGACTTCGTATCCATGCTTCTTCCCCAATCTTTAGATTTGGCAAAACTCGTTCGCTTTGGACTTTTGAGGAACGTTGCGACGCGAGCTTAGCAGATTCTTAAATTTCACATCGAAGATACAACTACTAAATACGTTTGTAGCGCGACAAAAGCGGGATATTATTAAAAATGGCAGCCGTCAACGCATCGCAAACCGATTATTGGAACTTTCTGTTCATCGAATTGGCAGGTGAGTGATCGTCCGTCCCCCTCCCTATAGAAGTTACATGGAATCGTTTTACTCAATCTTGTGGGTACCTGTTCTCCTGTAGATCCGCGCACCAATGACTGGTTCCTGATCAAGTCCCCCCTGCCGCTGCTTGCCATCCTCGGCCTTTACCTGTTCTTCGTGCTGGGATGGGGTCCGCGCTTCATGCGCGACCGGAAGCCCTTCAAGCTGGAGCGCACCCTCCTGGTCTACAACTTCTTCCAGGTGGCGCTCAGCGTGTGGATGGTGTACGAGGGCGTGGTCATCTGGCAGACATACAGCTGGCGGTGCCAGCCCGTCGACTGGTCGCGTACCCCCAAGGCTTACAGGGAGGCGCGCGTCGTGTACGTCTACTATCTGGCCAAGATCACCGAGCTGCTGGACACGATCTTCTTTGTGTTGCGCAAGAACGATCGCCAGGTGACCTTCCTGCACGTCTACCACCACACCGTGATGCCGATGATCAGCTGGGGCACCAGCAAGTACTACCCGGGCGGACACGGCACCTTCATCGGCATGATCAACTCTTTCGTGCACATCATCATGTATTCGTACTACTTCCTGTCCGCCTTCGGGCCCCAGATGCAGAAGTACCTCTGGTGGAAGAAGTACATCACCAACCTGCAAATGGTGAGCCATCAGTGGGACATCTCACACGGTTTCCTGTTCTATAACTTGTAACATTTCAGATCCAGTTCTGCTGCGCCTTCATCCATCAAACCCAGCTGCTGTACACGGACTGCGGCTATCCCCGGTGGTCTGTCTGCTTCACCCTGCCCAATGCCGTCTTCTTCTACTTCCTCTTCAACGACTTCTACCAGAAGTCCTACAAGAAGAAGCAGGCGGCTGCCCAGGCCAAGGCCGACGCCCTGATGGCGAACAACAATAACGAGAGCTGTGCCAAGGATCTGAATAAGGTGGCAGCGAAGGACCTGGAGCTGAAGCAAAAGCAGAAGGCCTTGTAGGGTAGATGTCATACCAATCCCTCCCCCTTTCAATACTCATACAAAGCGGGGCACACACTGAGAGCTGATACCCCATGATGTTCTATGTGCAACTTTGTTGACTAATTTCTTAAGTAATCCGCCGCCAAAAACACGTAAAACAAGAAAACGAGACACCATACACTCGTCTATTGGAACAGATGAGGTTTTCAAGATACAGATACACACAATATCGTATGTAAATGTTCAAACAGTTAAAATTGCTTTTTGCAGCCGTCGCCATCATCGCTCGCCTCGTTTGATGTCCGCTGAGGCGGACACCAGATGAAAGAAGTGCTTGTATGTCTTTCGGTCAAAGCTGAACTAAACTACAAGTAAGTTAGGTAAACCACACAGAAGATGATGAAGAAGAAGATGTGTTAGTTGTGTAAATAATTGTAGGTACGCATATGAATATGTTTTCTTAAGATTTTATATACGCATCGGTATGTAAAGTAGTTATAAACGAAGAGAAAAAGATATTTACGTCTAGCTAAAACAAACAAAATCTTACAAATAAAACTAGAATTTTTTCTACAAAATTTTATAAAAACAATAAGAATGGTTCTTTGTTTGTTCAATGAATGGATTGATGGATGTGGTTGGGGTGGGGCCTTCAATGGATTGATTCATAGATATAATTCCTCTTTGATCATCTTCAAGATATGTTCAGGAAATGTTTGCACAATTAATCTGCCTAAAAGTGCTTTCGATCATAACACGATGTTTCATTGGATAACATTGGAGTGGAATTTCCAAATCCAAATCCATTGTTTGATTAGACTGTGAGAAAATGTCTCTTTAAACTCTCACTTAAACTCACTTCCTATGATAAACCTTTGACGTAATCATAAAAGCATTTGCTTAAGGAACTATTTACTCTTGTCCGCGTACCACAAAAGGTATATGGTATTTGTTTAGGTCACACAGCCCCCAGCCACACCTTCTTCCCTGGCAAAGTGTTCTCATTGATAATTATATGACCAACACCTGACACATGCTTAAGGAAATCCATTCTCAAGGAACTCATTTCAGATTATATACAATGGTCGGATCAAGCTATTCATTCATTCATCTGCGGAAACCAAGAGATATGTATGTACGTAATCGCAGTGATATTCGAATTTGAATTTGAATAGGCGTGGCCCGAACAGGTCCGATGGTGGGGTGATGTTGATGTTGATGCCGATGGAGCATGTCCAGTTCATGAATTTTTACGAGGCGATTCTCTGAGAACATGGTCCACACACAGCCGTGCCAGAAGATTGGGACCACTTGCCATCGATGATCGTATCGTCTTGCCTCGGTCCGGATCCGCTCATTAGAAGCTCATTTAAAAGGCACCTTGAGCATACACGCAGAAAAGCTGAGCTGTTGAGATGAAGATCTGATAAATTCCACAACACAACATACAACCTTTTATTGATCAATCAGTCAAAACGGAACCCAAAGCGGAAGTGGAAACGCATCTTCAAGTGGAGTTGCTGCCAGTCGCTCTGCGGATACTGTATTCAATAAAGCCGGTTTGGACAATTGACCTTGATCTTGACCACAAACACATGCACACAGGCACACAAAAGCCGAAAGCCCAAAGCAAAACCTCTTTTGCCTGAGGACTGGCCCAATCGGAGCCAGTTTATTACGTGTTGTATGGCATGATCATCATAGATCTGATCAGGCTGTTCAAACATGAAGAAGAAATCAGAACTAGTTTTATAGAAAACTACCCTGGTATCCAGAGTTCTTCTTTCATTGCATCCAAGTGAGGGAAAATATACAAGGAAGGAGATATAAGGGGTACCCGACATTTATTATTCAGCTTTAAAGTGTTGAAACTTTTCCGGGTCCATTTTTGTACAGTTTTCTCGTCTATTATCTACAAGTTATCTACGCCCCAACTACATGTCTCGGTGGCGACACCTGTCCGAAGGTCTCTTCACTGCAATATCTTCCATATTTTTAATCTGTTTGAAAAAATATTTTCATATTTTTGGCATAAACAATCTAGATTTCGATGCTGATCATAAATATATATTGTTTAATGGTTTTGAGCTCACCACCGAAGGGCAATTCTACATTTATTTTACATAAATTCTGTAACTAAAAAAATAGTGCACACTTTTTAGCTGAAAAGCTGCAAAATTTTCACGATTTTCTAAAGATAACTTTCCTCTAATTGTGGCCGAAATTTACCAAAATCCTCCTCAATGGGGTTTGAGTGAAAATTCGAGCCTCATAGCAGTTCTCGTTCAATATTTACGTTGATTGACAGTTTTTGGCGATGACCTATGCAAATTGCCGCGAATTTACACTGAAAAAAGTCTAATATAAAAAAGTTCTTGGGTAAATATCGAAATTCGTTATATGGCCCTTGAACTTTGACTTGAACGAAACGTTTTTGGCCCCCCTAATCTGCATAAAAACAAGTAGGCTATTCTTTAAACGTTGCTCGGCGTGTGTGTGTCAGAATTAATTCGAAAGAGATCAAAAAAAGGAATTAGAATTTCTAATTTAGCTATGACCACACTCTCTGAGTCGCCATGGTGTCTGAGCCGGACCCGAAAACGGGTTAGAAGCCATTGCATAACCAGCCCAGCAGCCCAGCAGCACGCGTGCCAGGTTCCAAGTTCATGGCTAGGAGGACTAGCCACAGAACAGAGAATTATCGTACAAGATTGGGGGACTGGGATATTCAGAGATACAGAAGTTTCGGGGATTGGGATATTCAGAGATTAATCGTAAGGTATTAATCATGCTGCCGTAATGTGCCGCAAAAGAATATCTGGTAGATGGCAGATGGCAGATCTGCATAATTTTATTGGGGTGGAGAGAGAGAGCGCGTGGCCGGCCCGGCACAAGAGTTCGGAAATGATTTGGGTATGGGATCGGCGGGTGCTGGCGCTGTCATAAATAATGGGATACAACAGGTTTTAAGATTGTTGTTATCTAATGCGAAACCCGCCTCGAACCGGCAAAGAACAGACACAAAGCCTTGGTTTTGTTAAAGATAAAAAATCAAAGTTTTATTCAATTTTTCTTGTTTCCGAGATGACAATTCGAGAAACGATTTACGGCTGCATTTCATTAATAAAAACTCTATCACACTCGCACACTCAAAATCAAACGCAAAATCAAACTCAAACTCTGGAAAACATTAACACATACTCAGTCAGACTGTCCACAATCAGATCAGGCACACTCTTACGATCCTAGCTATTTTTTGGGTTGTAATCTTCGGCTGCTCGGCATAAACATTATACATACATCGTAGATGGTACGTTGTGCCTGCTACAGATGCGTAGATATAGAGATTAAGATACACTACAAACTAAACTAAAGCCCCGCTCTACAAAACAATAATTGCTAAACTGAAACCCAACCAAACGGGGGCTCGCGCTCATTCCACCTTCAGCGGCTTCACGCTGTTGTTGTTCAGATCGATGTATGCCTTGGCCGGCTGTACCTGGCCCTGGCTCTGGCTCTGGCTTGTGATCTGGGTCTGGGTGGGCATGCAGCCCATGCCGCCGGCGGCGCGGAGTGCGGACTGGGCCAGACTGCTGCCGGTCCGGGAGCTGCCATCGATGCCCTTGTTCTTGTTGTAGGTCTTGCGGTAGAAGTTGCCGAACAGATATAGGAAGATGACGGTGTTACCCACGAAGAAGAAGGTGAGTGTCTTGGGCATGTTGCAGCCCTTGGCGCCGACGGCCAGCATGTAGCCGAGGATCAGGACGAACTGGATCAGCTGGATGCTTGTCATGTACTTCTTCCACCAGAGGTACTTCTGGTACTGGGGTCCCATGGCCGCCACCATGTAGTAGAAGTACATCATGATGTGCACGCCCGAATTGAGGATGCCAATGATCACGCCCTGCTCGCCGGGCGCGTACTTCAGGTAGCCCCAGGAGAAGAGCACGGTGATTGTGTGGTGGTAGACATGCAGGAACGACACCTGGTTGTTCTTCTTGCGCAGCACAAAGAACGTCGTGTCCAGCAGGTCGATGATCTTCGAGAAGAAGTAGAACCAGGCTCCCGAGTACAAAGCCAGATTCTGTTCACGCGTGCGATTGATTTCGCACTTCTTCGAGAAGATGGAGGATATCACATTGCTCTCCTGGATGGACTGTAAATGAAGGAGGGAAATGAAATGATTAGAATATGTGAATATTCAATATATACATATATGTAGCTGCTCTCATTTAGTATGTCGTACGAGCACGTTTATAGGGTGCTTATGATAACTGAATAATACATCAATGGGGAGCATCAGCAGCCGCTTTATGATCTGAATAATTATGACGGGTTTTATGGACTCACCGTGCGACACATCCAAATGGAGTAGCAGACCTGGAAGGCGTTGTAGAACACCATGATACGCTTCAGATCCATGGGCTTGCGGTTCTTCATGAACTCGGGTCCGATCTTCAGAATAAACGCAAGGTAGAGTAAAACCACACCAAAGACAGGCGCCGGGGAACTCATCAGGAACCAGCTGTCCACAGTCTCATCTGCACACGAAGGTTTGGGAAGTTAGTTTGAGTATTACCGAAGAGCTTTCCCTATTAATATTTCACTCACCCACGCCCTTGGACAGGCCGGAGATGCGCTCCTCGAATATCTTCATGTAAGTAGTCATTGCGGCTGCTTGGGTTTGGTTCCGATTCGGATTCTGCAATTGGCAACTGCAGGATGGGAGGAAAGGGGAAACAGGCTTTAGAAATTTTCGCCCAAAATCGAAAATTCAGAGCTCGACGTCCGCACGCCGCGTTGCCAAAATATTGAATGAAAAGATATTCTAAAAGCCCGAGTGCTTAGAGAGGCTTGGCACGTTCGAGAGTCGCGGCTCGAGAGTCGCGGGCTATTGATTATGCTAGCGAGACGAGCGTGATCCGCATTGGAATGCCAGAAGCCAACTACGCAAACGCTTTATTAATGAAATGTAAGAGAAGACTTATTTAGTTATCCCATATGCAAAACGGGACGAGCACCGAGCCAGGCGAAACCCAAATCGAATGATGAATGACGACAGACGAATCCAGATAAAAAGCTGCAATCCGAGGCTGCCACTGTTGCACCCCAATGGCACACGAGTATGATTGCAACTTGAAAATTGCCATCTCGAAATCGATAATGGCTTGAGATTCGCATTATAGAGATGCGATGCGATGCGATGCTGGTGGCTGTTCGCTGGTTGCTGGCTGGGTATTTAAGATTCTTGGCTGACCACGACCGCAAGTCAATGGCTTCGAAACCTGAACAGAGCCAAACTCAAGGCTTCATTTGAATTTCTCGCCTTGGCACTAAAGTCGATCTAACTTTGGCATTCATCTTGTACGAGTATCTATGTGTCTGTATGCCGTATCTCTGTGTTTATATCTCCAAGATAACAACCAGCACACTCACATCGTTTATGTTCTAGGCATTTACATAGTAGCCATTGCCAAGCCAATCGAAGCCATTGCCTTCGTGTCTTCCTTTTGGGCGATTGTTGGGTATTGTTATTTAAATTGCACACGGAACATCACTATTCGATTGAATAAATGGATACGATCCACCGAAATGTATTCAATTACAAATGTCTTAAGAACTTGTTCTTATGTAACATTCGGTTTTTCGTTTTTTGTTGGTTTTATAGTTTTAGTTATAGTTTCTGTGTGTTAACCACTGACCTAGGCAACTCGAACCGGAACTTGAGGCAGAATCTTCTGGAATACTATTAGCGTGTATAATTAGCTGGTCGCCGCATATCCAGTTTGCGGCATAGGCAGGGAGATCAACTGGGTTAGGTGCTCTTTAACTTTGCTATATTTTTATATATTTTCCAGCGCACGGGTATACTTGATTTGTTTGTGTGTTTGGTTTGGTGAAAAGGAACTTTAAAATCAAGGCCTTCTTCGAGTGTGTGGTTTAACTTAATGACTGTCAAATGACTGGAGTTTTCAAATCGCAGCGTTTCTGGGCTCTAATGTCAGACAATTTTCATGGATCACATGGCGGGTAATTGAATTTGGAGAGCCTTCGCATTGAAAGTCGCCATTTGCTGCCACCTGCCACTGCCACTGCCAGTGCCACTAATTGGTTATACACGGCGTATGATTGATATTTTGCGGACTGCAACCGTGCGACTGCCAACAGCGACTGAGACTGGGGTCTCTGTCAGGGTTACAGCCCCATACCCGTGTACCCATTCCCATTCCCATTCCCATTCTGTAGCCCATTCCGAAAGCAATTCCTAGACCCATTCGTATGCAAGGCACTTGGCAGCCGTAGATTGACACTGGAGACAGGAAAAGTGAGCTCTGAGCATCATCACGACCAAAAATGTGACGCCAATCGACACGACGTCTGAGTCAGTCGTCACCCGTTCCACTGGCTGTTGACGCTGTCACCTCCGCCTGTCCTCCTGTCATGTTCTAAATTTAGGGGCACCCACACACCTCCTACCACCCCTAGTGCTAGGCTCTTCTCGGGCTTTGCTACACTTTTGTAAGCCCAAAGGCCGCCGGACCATTGCTGGTGCACGCTGGGACTCTGTTGAGAGTCTTCCGGCTGCCCCGCCTTGGCCAGTCGACACAAAAAAGCTCGACAAATAGGAACAAATAAATTAAGAAACGAACAAGGAGAAGTGGCAACAGAGGCAGCAGAGGCAGACTGCCACGCACGCATAAAATATGTGTTTTGTATGCATAATTGATTCTGGTTTTTGCAAATTTCATACCCTTTCAGAGGTGCTTGTCGAACGCCTTGTCAGCATTATCAGAACCGCGACTCCGCTGTGGATTTACCCAGCCCCCAGGTCTCGTCGCCTTCGCGTGCTGTACTCGAACATACATGTAGGTCTGCCGAACATTTTGAAATGTTTAACAATCGTTCAGCTTCAGCTTCAGATTCAGTTTCAGTTTCTGGTTCTCTTTTTTGGCCCGTCTGTGACTAATGCGAAAAGTACGAGTATCTAAACACCCAAAGGCTGTCTGGACAGTGCGGAAAAGCCCCGCAAAAGGCGTTAATTTTGTATGATTTTTCAACATGAAACAAAGAAAAAAAATAAACAACTTAATTTGCCACTAATTTCGGATCTAATGAAGGCCGATGGAGGGCATTAGCATTAGTCTTCTACTCATTGTCCAACGAAACAAACCATCTGTGATTCATTTGCTATTAATGAGCCAGTCGCCAGATTGCAGCTTTTGCATGTGTCTTTTGCATAATTGCATTTGGCAAATGCATGGCACAAAAAAAGATCTTAATATTTTGTCGTCAAGTATTTGACGAACCTCATGTATGGGGCGGATGTTTTCCTATCGTAGCACGATTTTCACACGCATTTGTGTTGTGTAAATGAAAACAATCAACCAGGCATGTGAAGTTCCCGAATACATTAGCCCTATCCCCATCCCCATCAATGGGTGTCGGCAGTGTGTTAGACAGCAGAACTCAGCGACAGCGACAGTGACGGTGACTGTAAGTTCAACCTACAGTAGAGGGTATGCCATGGGGTCGAGCAACCCTCACTGTCGCGTTCTGACTCGTTTCGTTTCGTTTCGTTTTGGGTTTCGCGAGGAGAGGGAGTGCAACAGGTTAATCATTTAACTCTGGCTGTGTCAAGTGCATATGTTTTATGGTTTCATGCTTGCTTAGCGCAGTAAATTAATTTTTTTTTTTTCTGTTTTCGCCAGCCGAGGCATTTACAGCAGAGGAGAAGGCAAGGCAGCCAAGCCAAGCCATTGCGCCGAGTCAGCCGAGCACTTGGCAACCACACATCCAAATCCACATCCAAATCCAAATCCAAATCCATAGCTAACACGGTGCCCAGCGCCAGCGCCAGAGTCAGAGTCAGAGACAGGTTCGGTTCAGAGTCAGAGACTTTTTGGGCAGACGCTCTTCTGACAATCTTTAATTACTGGGTAAATATTTGCAGCGTTAATTGGATTTTTTCTCTTTAAAGTCGGTGTGTTTTCTTTTTGTTTTTTCGTTTTTTGGGAACTGTAACGGATGGATGGAATGGACGGGAAACTTTTGCAGGGGCACAGGTACAAATCGTCATGAAATTTGTTTGCTTAACCATGATTTCATGGCTGGCGGTGTCGGGTCTTCGCAATGGAATCAAATGATGGGGTGCAGATGGAGGCCAGGCACCTGATGCAGCTGCGAATTGAATTGCAATCGATTACAAGTTCAAAACGTTTAGTTTTGGCCGCCCCAATGCTGCCAGAGTCTTGGCCTTGGCTGACTGGCAAAATTGCAGCTCCTCAAGCCAGTTTTTAGCATTTAATCTATGTGCAATGCATTGGGTTAAGGTCGACTAGAAAATCTCAGACAGACAGCAGTCCCCAGTCCCCCAGCAGCAGCACCACCACTGCCATCAGAGGAGTACATATTACTGTCCAAAGAGCAGCGAAAAAAGTTAAGTTGGTCAAGTCGATTGCAACCCACTTTTGCTTGCTGGCAATCCAGTTTCCACCGATTTGGGTTAGGGAATGTCCCGTCCCGAAAACTTGCTCTCTAATTTATGCAACACTTTCACACCACAGATGTCCCAAAAATTCAATCACTTCCGTACCTGTTCTGGCCGCTGGCTGTTCTGTGGATGGCTTCTGCTTATATTCTGCACGTACGCGTATGGAGTTCCCTCCGAGGAATCAGCTCACTCACTCACACACGCCGCACGCTGGAAGAGATTCGGACTCGACTGGGGCCAACGCCAAGAAGACACTAATATGGAGTTCTACACGCTCGGCTGTATAAATAAACAAAATGAACGAGCTTCGCGGTCTCCGGGCCCGGGCCGGCCATGTTTTTGCCTTTGACGTCGCTGCCGCTGCTGGCGTCAGCTTGAGCTGCGCAGTCGGCTATACGTACAGATATATGTATGTACATACATACATATATGTAGATATAGTATATTCTCTGTCTGTCTTTCGACCCGATGCCAATGCAAGTCGAAGCCGCGTTAATGGCCAATTTTAGTTTTCAGTTTTGTTGCTCGGTTTTTCAGATCTCCGGTGGTAAGGTCAAGTTTGAAACAATTAAAGCGAATGTGTTGGCCAAAAAGAAAGCAAAACTGTTGGCTCCGCTTTTCTGCCCCTGCTGTGGTTTATTTTGAACAAGTTTATTAACCCTATACCCAAATTGGCCAACAAAACATGCAGATGCTATCGGAAAAAAAACAGCACACCCGCCCAAAAGAGAAACCGAAAACGAAGACGAAGAGAAAAGGGGGATAGACGAATACCAAAATAAAGCAAAATAATGTTTGGCTTTAAATTAACCGCTAGACAATTGATTTATTATCGTTGTCACGTCAATACAGTCCTCACATTGGGTCTGACTCAATCGTAGGCTTATATGACACTCGCCACAGCCCCACCCCCCTTCCCTTCCCTTTCCCATTCCCACCCCCATCACCGACCTGACTGACGGCGGACACTGATTCCGTCTTTATTACGGTCTGGTCTGGTCTATTTACTTACGCAAATCCATCACTTAGCACATCGCCAGGTATTTTGGGAAGCACTTTGCCGCTCCATTGATGGGATGGGAAATTTCAACTCACTTTCCACAAATGTCGGTCAGGGGCCACGGCCACACCCACGTGCTAAGTGTCCGGACAAATGTTTGCCAAAGTCCATGCACTTTCCATCATCTGGTCGGCGACGCAGCGGAACAATCTTCCGGGTCTTTAGCATTTTCATGAAAAAATAACAAAAACACACACTGAAAATGGCAACAAAATAGCCGTTTTGCATTTTATTTTATCGCCCGTTTGTCATTCAAGCGGCGTGTATTAGCGGCGTTTCTACTTTGTGATATTGTGATGAAGACCCTGAACTTCAGCTACTCAATAATTTAATAAAATCAATTTTGTACCGCTAGCTAGAGTTTATGCTAAATCTTCGTCTGATCCTTGGCCAAGTTTCTGACAGGGCTTATCAGAACGACGTGTAGAGAGCAGAAACTCAACTGATTAATTAATTTTAATGGCCTAGTTTTTAAGGTGAACATGAAGAGTTCAAGTTTATTCTTCGACTTTCTGGGGGAAGTACACGGTGGGCAAAAGAATATGAAATCGACAGAAAAGCATCATATTTTGAATACATATTATTGGCGAGAATTTTAAATTATTCCACTAGAAAAATAAGTTATTTAAGTACCCTCACTTTGTACTGTAAGATTTATATATTTAGCCTGTTTGTTTTAATTGATGTTACTGTACATTGTAGGCAAGTAGGATAGGTAAGTTTTGTAAGCGCTAAATATAATACGTATCTCATATAACCGACACCTTGCTATCCAGCACTATCAGTGATTTCAAATTTACCGCGCATCCAAGGCGCTGCCACATTAAGAGCTGTTAAGTGCAATCATATAATTGTTTAACATTTATATCGATATATGTATGAAAAAAACCACCATCACGGAAGCTGGTTAAAATGAAATTTAGGCAAAACCTCGATTTAAATCATATATAACTGTATATTTAAACAATTTCATTAAATTAAAGATCATAGAGTACAACAACTTCCAAATCGTAGTTCCGTGCATCAATTATTCCTCTGGATTCCTAACAATTCGACTTTGGCGCGTATCTCTTCGAGTCGGTTATGCCTATCTTTGTCGCTCTTTAGCCTTGATATAGGCATCTACACGAAGAATTATTATTATTATTATTGGTATTATTTTCCGCGATTTAACTAAATTTGTTGCCGTGTTAAAATAAAAAGGGTTTCAGTGGGCTAAGTTCGATTTTTCAATGGTGTTTAGACACCCATTTTAGCTCACACACCTTGCAAATTTTTAAATTTTCATAGTATTTTCTAATATTTTCCAGTATTTTTATTGACAAAAATGTCCCAAAAGTCAGTTAAAAAGTGGATAACGGAGGTTTTTCACACTGGCGATTCCATGGGGCTTATATGAAAAAAAGACCAACAAATTTCTATAAAAATCCACTAAAATTAAAGTTAGCTAGTCCTGTAGAAAAATGATTCGTCAATTTGCGAAAAGTCTTTATTAATTTCGTCATATCTTCATATTAAATTAACCAAATAGGGTATACAAAGGCTATACACTCATCATACCAGCAACATTGCGACTGTTTTTTTTTTTGTTGAACTATTTTTCCTTGTTTTAGACAAACTTCAATAAAAGCAAGGACTAAAAACCAGTCAATCCTGAAGATAATTTATTCTTCAACGTCCTAAAATAATGTGGGCAAAGCTGAGAGATCGAAATAGCTATTAATATTCGACGGAATATCCAAATCGGAATATGTAAAATAGGACTTGTATTCGTCAGTATATTTACGGTATATTTTTCAAATGAGACGGTATATTTTGGTATATCTCTGAGGGTCGGACCGTATATTTTATCTGGTCGGACCGTATATTTTAATAAATAAAAAAAGAAAAAAAATCTGCTGCTCCTGCACCATCCAAATAAATAAAGTAAATAAATTAATTACTGGGCAAGTGCTAGCTTCGAGGGTCCTTTGGAGTTACACGCACAGCAGCGCAAGTTTCAGGAAGCGCTTAAATATGTGAGTGACGCATAAAGAGTGAAATCTTTCCACATCTTAATTGTTGTGGCCGTGCTGGCCTCAATGGTCTGGTCTGGGAAAACTGAATTGTGTGCACTGCGCAGGTGAAAAATGCATCCGAAGTGTCGTTTTTTTGCTCTCACACGTGGCCTTGTGGCCGAAGTTCTCAATGAGTGTCATGTGGCTGTTATCTATGAGTGTCCCTGGGGTCCTCGTGACATCTGTCCCATACTCCTGCCTTTGTTGGCAACGCTATGCCCCATCTTATGTAAAACTTTAATTGGCAGCTAACTCGCTAAATGATAAAAAACACAGTGCACAGACACCCGTACTTGTGCCATGCATATACGCTATACAGCCGGCTGGGATACAAAGTTCACTTGGACTTTTCTGTTGCTGGGAGCCACATGTGTATCCATATAAAATTGATATTGCCGCACTAATAAAAGCAATTCTCCTATAAAATTCCCCGAATGCCAGCTGGCCATGATTTCGAGAATGTGATATCGTAGAAATAACAATAATCGATCCTATTTCACTCGGGGAAAACTTGAGTTTCTGTTTCTAGTTTAGTTAAAACTCCTACATTTCAGCACTATTTGTGTGGGAGGCTAGAAAGAGCGTCATGGAATCTTCTTCGAATCTGCTCGAACGCAAGAAATCGGTCAGCGATTTGTCTGCCGAGGTGGAGGAGACCTCCACAGCAACCACTGGCCTGGACTCGTCTGGCCACTCGTCTGCCGGTGCGGGGACCACTGCAACCACAACAGCCACGCAACACGGAAGCGATGAGACCGAGGAAGATATTTTCGAGCAGGTACAAATGATACTTCGCAAGCGTCGCGGCTGGGGACCGGATGATTCCCTCAGCAATGATCTACATTTGCTGGAGTACGACGATGAGCTGGGCGAGGAGGACGATGCCGGATGCCCACTGCCCTCCACACCGGAGGACACACAGCTCATCGAGGCTGAGGTAAGTCAAACCGCCGTTTAAGCCCGTCCTTGTCGTTTACGCTAAACAGCTGTGCAAAAAGCATTTGCACACTCAAGTGCTGTGCAACCTTATCGCTGACCTGGCACCGCGTTGTGTTATCGCTCTGTTGTTGGTGTTCGCAGCCAGGGAGCGCAGGCCGAAGGCAGGTTACTCTAAGTGTCTGTAGTCTTTTCATTGTCGTTTTCAACGACTGCTCTTATCGTTCGAACTATTGCAGAGGCCCACAATGTGGCCATTGCCTTACTGCCGCAGGTGGCAATTGCAAAAGTTATAGAACATTCGATACACTGGAGCAGTGGAAATGCTTTACAGAACATTAAGCGCATTTTCCAATCCTGCCTTTCAGTTGAATATTGAGTATAGTTCTCTCGATACTTTCAATCAGTTCCGTTCCGGATTAGAGGTGTCGAGGGCCGGCTTAGGCCGAAAACGGTGGGAAAAATAACCAGACGACGTCAGATGTGGAGCTGATAATGGGACGTTGGGGACGGAGAGAGGCAGCATCGGGCGCGCTATCTTATCGCCAGGCGCATTTTGTTGTTTTTTTTTGTTGTCTTGTTCCGTGAACAAAAGTTTATACAAACCGTTTCAACTAAGTATGCGACAGTCAGATTCTTCAAAGTATAAACGCTCGTTGTGCCGCACACTTAGTTTTAGTTTTTGAAACGAATCGCTGTTTGCCGCTCAAAATGCCAGACAAGCAGCAGTCCCAGCCGGAGGTTGTCTTGACTGTGATCGACCCGGATCTGGAGCCGCAGAGCGATGTTCCGATCGAGGACTCCCCGAAGAAGAATCAGAACGAGGATGCAATTGAGTGTCAAGCGATCGATAAAGACGTCAGTCCCATTTGCTTTTAGTTTAAACGTTTTGAATGTAGTCTAAGCTTTTGATATTCATATTCGGTTCGATGCATGTGTAATTCCCGCATCATTTCCTTCCCTTAGATGACGGAAGTACTGAAGGCTGGGGTGCTGTCCGACGAAATCGATTTGGGTGCATTGGCCCACAATGCCGCGGAGCAGGCTGAGGAGTTTGTACGCAAGGTAAGTACTTTTGGATAATTGATGAACTATGGCTCAAGCGGAACACCCCTTTTCATTTGATATTCCGTAACTTTGTTGCACTTTATTTTCCCTTGAATAAATATAAAAACTACTTTTAATTTGTTTTTAATTTGTGTTGAAACTATGCCCCGTTAGCCACTGACTGAGGCCCTTAACCCAAACCCAACCCCAAACCCAAACTCCAAGCCACCCCTGCCCTATTAGTCAAGTTCACTAACCGTTTATATTTAACTTTCCCTGACGCATGTAGGTGTGGGAGGCCAGCTGGAAGGTGTGCCACTACAAAAACCTACCAAAATGGCTGCAGGATAACGATTTTCTACACCGCGGACATCGCCCACCGTTGCCCTCGTTCCGCGCTTGCTTCAAATCGATTTTCCGCATTCACACGGAGACGGGAAACATTTGGACCCATTTGCTGGGCTTCATTGCGTTCCTTGGCGTCGCTGTGTACTTCATTACGCGTCCATCGGTGGAAATTCAGACACAGGAGAAGATCGTTTTTGGCGCCTTCTTTATTGGGGCAATTGTTTGCTTAGGATTCTCATTTACTTTCCACACACTGAGCTGTCACTCTGTAGAGATGGGAAGACTGTTTTCAAAGTAAGTCCACCATATCATGGGAAGTGTATTGTGTTCTAATTCTTTCGTTTACCCACAGACTGGACTACTGTGGAATTGCGCTGCTAATTATGGGATCTTTTGTGCCTTGGCTGTACTACGGTTTCTACTGTCATTACCAGCCAAAGGTGATCTATCTGTCAGTGGTCTGTGTCCTGGGCGTGCTCTCCATCATTGTCTCGCTGTGGGATAAGTTCTCGGAGCCAGCACTTCGTCCATTGCGCGCTGGCGTTTTCATGAGCTTTGGACTGTCCGGCGTCATTCCAGCCATTCACTACAGCATCATGGAAGGATGGTTCAGTCAGATGAGTCGTGCCAGTCTGGGATGGCTAATCCTCATGGGTAAGTTTCATAATCAGAGGATATTTTGAAGATGTAATCGAATTTTGTTTCACTCTATTAGGCCTACTCTACATCATCGGTGCCTTGCTGTATGCCCTACGTGTGCCCGAGCGTTGGTTCCCTGGAAAGTTCGACATTTGGGTAGGGTTTCGGTTATCTCTTGAGATAAGGAAAATGACTCACTCAACGATCAATTTTATTTTGCAGGGACAATCGCACCAGATATTCCACATCCTTGTGATTGCTGCGGCCTTTGTGCACTATCATGGCATCTCCGAGATGGCCATGTACCGTGTCATGTATAGCGAGTGCACCGTGCCGATTGAGCCTATTACCTTCTAGAAGCTGAATGTGGATACTGAGGATACAATCATACAATCATAAATACATAGAATCCCACACATACGAGTATATTCACATACACAATACTGCGATCTAGCGCAATTTTACAATGCAACCGTTTTTAGCGTTTGGTGAGCATCTGTACCTTGTTATACGAATAGATGAAAACCGATCCATATTCCAGGCATAATTTACGCGCATTTATCATCCAATTCAAAATCGTTCATTATACAAAAGGGAAATCTAGCAAAACGTTAATTATCGAATGAAATTTGCAGTAGAGTAATTAATATATGTACAACTATTTATAAAATTCCAATTTCGTTTACTTAATATTATCTTTAGTTGATGAAAGGGATTGCTTGCAAAGGGACGAAATGCCAGGGTCATTCATGGCCAGGTGGGGATTGTGGAGCCTTCGCTCAGGCTTACGGTTACTCTCTCTATACTGTAGAACCATTCGAAAAGGCAAGCAATTTCCTCTTTTAAGTTATAGAATTAGATGAATTAGAATCATTAGGATTACATGGAATAGTGAACACAGATCTAAAACGTTATACGAGGTCTAAATTTACGTTAAATTCTAAATCCAATCACACACATACTCGTACTAGGGCTTGTTTTCACAGCAGCTACCATCACATACATATATTACAATATGCATGGCCGATCTATTACCAACACGCGGCGAAGTGCAAACAATAAATAAAGAGAAGACTTCTGATTTGTATTTGTATTGAAAACTGATTTCAAAGAGCGTAATTCCCTCGGCTTATATCAGATATTCTCAGCCAAGGAGCATTTCATAATCATACATTTTCATCATTAAAGATATATATCTGCAAAATCTTGCTAATATTTATGTACATATGTACATATGTAAGTATGTTCGATTTGGCAACGGTTGCCATCACCCTAATGCCTTCGCATAAATATCGTCATAGAGAATTAGAAATACGCGCCGGGGTTATTAGTTTAGTTCAGACTGGCGGCGCGAATTTGGCTGGCGAGGGCAAAGCATTTGTTGCTGATGACTGGGCGAATGCTAGAGTTGACTTTGACCCCCTTGATGGAGTGAGCAGCCCCGCAAGTCGTGGTCTAGTCTTGAGTCTGCCTGCCTCCCACCTCTGCCTTGTGTTCTACTCGTAGGTACATATATGTGTGCTAGTTTCTATTTTCGAGTCTGTAGATCATTAAATCTCTTCAGGTTTTGCACAAATAATCGAACAAAACACTTGAGAGCACCGCGCACGTGTCTTTTAAGTAAATGCGATTGTAGGCTTTACGCAAATTCAAGTTCAACGGTAACAAAAATAGTACCAGAATCAAATATGGCAAAAATCTGTTCCGATGGAAGCCCCGAACAGAAGAGAAATATTTTAAATATGCCTCAAGCAGGCGCATAAAGGCTTCGCTAAGTCAATCAAGCAGGGTTCAAATCGCAACTTATTAACAAATGAAAACCTTTAGTCCACAAATTGTTTCAAAATGTCTCCCCTTAAACCGTAAAAAATGATTCAATAGCCGATGCGTTTTATGTTTAACGCAGTCTTTTTGTGGTCGAATGCACATAAAACACCCTAAATAGGGTTTAATTACCCGTTCTGAATAAATGCAAATCGATTGCCTATAAATCGTGGCCAGATGAGGAAATATGCCCATGCCTCAGTTTGTGTTTCAGCTCTGTTTTACAGGTGACAACGAACTGGTTTGTGCCGAAACTTCGCCTCAGTCCAATACGGTTGGTGGGTGATTTTTATAACCCTAAAACTATTGTACCGTCTGCTGGGCTTTCACTTTCAGTTGCACGATACACTTGTACTCTTACGACTATCCAACCCAATGCACGCCACATAGCTGTAGCACTCGAATTACTTCTCATTAAACATAATTTGACAATTTGCTCAGATGCGGTGCGTAGCGTCGTCAGGTCAGTGTGAGACCTGCTCCACTGCTCTCTGGGCCAGGCCAATCAATCCGGAAGAGCCGGAAGAGAAGACATGTGTGCTGGATTCACAATCGCGATTGGCCTGTCATCGTCATTAGGAGATGTGAGATGTGTGCTTTGTGCAGTTCAATGTCGGTAAAACTCGAATGCGTCTGCAGAGTTCAGGCAGCCACCCAGTTTGGGCTTTCAGCTTCTTATTAATGGTCTTGTGCAGTAGTTGCCTTTATGCGTTAAATTCAATATACCGACTCTGAATCTGAATCTGAGTCTGAGTCCGAGTCGGAACCAAGAGACTCAGACTGATGCTAAGACTAACAAGCAGTAACTTGTATTTGAAGGCTTTTGGCGTTTAAGTGTTATGGTCAAGGCCGTTGCCAGCATCCGCTGTGTGTCCAGTTCGTTGGTTCATTGATTTCCAATCAGCCTCAGTTCACCTCGGACTCGTACTTCTCATATACTCATATACTCTCCGTACAATACTTACCAGCTTGCCAACAATTGGTGGCTGCGTTTTTCCCCAATGTTCTCCAACTGTTACGCACTAATTGAGTTTTAATGTACACAGGCGAGTGGTACAAAAAGTCCAACCGAAATTACCAAATCAAGAGTAGAGTGCAGAAAAAAGAGCGCACAGAATGTTTTTGCCCAATACTCCAATGGGGCAGCAGACAGCATTTATTCTTTCAGAGTCTATCATCCAATCATTATCATGCAAATTTGGATATCTTGTCAAGTTCAAAAACATTAAAAGCGTATAATGGTACCCAACACAACAAAAAGATATTCCTATTCCCCCCAATCATATCCAAAAGGTGGCTGTCTGTATGCTTTTTTATTTGCATTTCGTGGTGCTGTAGTTTTCCATGTAAAGATGCTTTGAAAATATAATAAAACAAATCAGCTCTAATCGAATAAGTCGTTAAATGAGCCGCATCTGTATCTATAATAAAACACGATGCTGGGGGGCATTGTGGCGAGTTTGTGTCCGAAGTCTTTTGTTTCCGCCATAGGCCAGCGCCGACATTGACTTTGAACGCGATTGAATTCGACACAAAGTGAAAATTCGTATTGAACATGTACGGAAATCGATGGCGAAACAATAAACTGATTGATAAACTGATTGGGCCCGAAAATGCGTATGGAAATAGGTGTTTCGATTCTTGGCGATGACTGGCTTTGATAACGTTTTGGCACGCCTTGAAATGGGTTCAGTCCGGGTATCGTTAACGTAACAAACGCTGCGTAGAATCTTCCTCGAATTGCCAAAAATATTTAGCAATTGAAATGAGCCGCCAGCACAACACCCCCCAAATAAGATTCGGGCACGCGTCGGGCATGCCAACGCGGCGGGCCTGTGGCCTTCGGAATTGCGGAAGCTTAAATGAAGCTCCGTCGAATCCGTCGTATCCGAAACCCAAAATCTGTGAATGAATTGATACAAATTTATGATTTTATGAGCTGCAGTACCAGAGTGGCGTGGGCGTGGAGCTTCACAGCTAAATGAACCTTAAATCTGTGAGGTTTTCACTCCTTTGTCTTCTTTCTTCCGATTGAGCAATTAGCAGTGGGCCCAAATGGGGGGACCTGGTGGCAAATGTCAGGCAGTCATTGGGGCTGGGACGGGTGCGTTGCTTTTGGAGTCTGCCAAGCAATTTCGAGCTACTGTTCATTCACCATGGCTTACTACCATGTGGGTACTCGCACTAAAGCAGACAATGCAGTTTCCACTAGTGACTGCTACTACTGCGAGTGTGCGGAATGACGCGGCTAAAATGTGCATCAAGTGGCCATTGGAAACCTGGCTGCCACTGCTCTTTTCTCGTCAGCCCCACAGACGCTGGCTTCGGGCAGTTTGGGGCCATTTAATTGCACAATCATAAGGCACAATCCCGCACGGGCTCCGGCTCCCAGACTCAGGCCGGCCCACAGATGATAAATCTACTGGATACATTTTAACGATTTGGTTTGGCCAACTGCAAAACATTCTCCAGGCGGCAATCCACTTTGGATATAAAAATAGTTTTATTATAGGAAGAGGCGCTTGTTTTATTATTATAATTATTGATTTGGAATGCATTGTGTTTATCGATTTTAGCGACAATTAACCTGACGGTTGATGTTCTTATCGCAGATCCTAGAACAGGCCCTCAAAAACATGCAATGGCTGAGAATCAGTGCCCAGACACCGCTCCCGCTCCGCTTCGAAGCAACTAAAATCTGATGGAACATGGCGCGCGCAAGCTTGGGTCGGATCGGAGCTAGCAATCGGCTGAGATCGGGCCCCATCCGAGTCCACATTCGAATCGAAGTCTGAATCCGAATCGTTGTCGCCGTCGTCTCTGTCGTCGCTGTTGGTGTTGGTGTTGGTGTTGTTGGCTGTTTGTTGTTGGTGTTGGCTTTTGGTCGGTTTCGTGTCCGTGTATCTGTGTCTGCGGCGCATAGAAGACGGCTTGTAGGGCCCGGATATCGCTTAGTCTGAAAACGGCGCCTCAACAGCAAAGCAGCCAAGTGTTCGCTGGGAAATCGTAAAGCTGGCCGAGATCTGCCGCCTCGTGTTGTGCTCTGTTCTGTGCTCTATTCTCTGTGTTCTGTGTCCAGCAGCGTCGCGCTGATCGCCTGGAATCGAGTGTGAAATATTGTCTCGAAGGATAACAGAAAGAATTCCTCAGTTTAGTGTTTGTTCTTGCGCGTTGTGGCGGAAAGTGAAGTTCATTCCATTCAATATTTCGTAACCGAAAGGCAAGTGCTTAAGAACCGAATAATACTCATCCCGAACAATGGCGAATTGTGTCTAGATTTTATGCTAAATTATGCACACACGTTTAGGGTATAAACAAATTCCTGGCCTGGCCACATGTTTTGTGGCCAGCAACCTGTTAACAATTTGAGACATTTTTGGGGTCATTGCGAAACGAAAAGCGAACCAAAACACCCGGGAACGGACGAATTCAAAAGAAAAATACAGACTAAATATTGTATAAATAAATAACATGACGATGGCCAACAGGCAATAGCCAGCCAGCCCTCAAAAAAAAAAAATAAAAAAATGAGAGATGGAGGAAAAAACGGGCTTACAAAACGAGCTGTAATACTCCGCTGCGCCATGAAGATGCTGCCCCAGCCACAGCAACAGCCAGTGGCATCCCAGCCAGACAGCCAGCCAGCCAGCCAGCCAGCCAGCCAGCCAAGTCAATCACATCACTAATGTGGGGCTCATATGTAAATCGCACAACGATTGATCAATTCTGTACGTTATAGTAGATGAAGCAGATGAAGATAAAATGCAGCAGCAGCAGGCCAATATCGCGTCAGGTTGTGTCTGCGACTGCCACTGCGGATGCTGTTGCATTACCGCATACCACATACCACACGCAGTATACGCGTTCAAGAAAACTGCCCAATTTCACGGGGCATTATGTGTTATGTCACCGTAGATCTCCCTTAGCCCTGAATTTTGCGTTACACTTTTCGTGGCAATTGCGGCCCAAACAGAAATCAGAAGATGTGCTAAACGAAGAGATACACAAACAAAACTCGTACAATGCCTGAAAAACCCCCAAAAAACTTGACGTTTATACTTTGAGAGAAGTTGTGATGTGATAAGAATAGAGCGGAAGTCTGGTATATAACATTGGCACACTGATACACATATCACACTTCCTATACGCGAGACAGTTATCAAGTTACCAATTCTTTAGAGAAATATTTTGGTTATAATTTGGTTGGATTTGCCCTTCGTCAGAGGCAGCGCTGACGTTCACGCATGCGCACAATTTGTTGATTTACGATTTTATTGTTGTTTTCTTGGCACAAACAAAACAGCCAGCCCAGCGGTGACTCTGAGTGACACTCCGGAGAGACCGGAGAGATAGTTAGTCAAGCAAAATTATCTTCATATCACACCCAGCTCTGGTACAGGTGGGAGATCTGGGTACACAAATGGTTACTGCTGCACATCCGTCCGGTAAAAGAAAAACGCGGGCGATGTTTATTGCCTCTTGGGTGACATTTTTTTTGTTTTTTGACATGGCAAATTACATTTTAATATTATGAATCCAATTGGGGTCACATGCGTCGTCGGTCACACCAACAATTAAAGCAGAAACCCATCTAATTCCCACCTGCTTGCTGGGTTTCTCAATGCTTCCTCCGGCCGAGTGGGTTTTAGAGTGACTTATTTGCCCAACCAGACGGCAGCCAGCAGTAAGCAGCCAGCAGCCAGCATCACCCTCAAAGTTTGGCCATAGAAAAAGAGATTTGATAATAATGGCAAGGTAAACAAATCGAGAGGCAGAACAAGGCGATGGCTATGTGGACGATGATGATGTTTCGGTAAGGTGATGTGATGACAATTGCAAATATTGGAGGTCAGATGTCGTACATGGGTATATTTGAATACGAGTACGAATATTCTATATACCCGTAGGCACATATATTGAATATGCATGACTGGTTCAATCTGAGCACCCTTGGGAGGGAACAAATGATTTTTTGTAAAATGCAAGTGCAAAACAAAACAAGCAGCCACAAATAAACAAACAAACAAATATTAACATTATTAATAGTTCTGGTGATTCTAGAGAAAATGTAAGCGTTGATTGTCACAAGATATTTGTTAATTAAAGGCAGTAAAGGCAGTAGTTTACCCCACGTATCGAATTTCCCCGCCCCTCTAATGGATCACAGCTGAAAGTGATTGTAGCGATTGGCTATCGAAGTGCAAGTGATAGGAATTACTTTCAATCGAGTGCTTTGATCGACTAGTTGTTGCCTTAGTCGTAATTTATTCAGACTGCAATATGCGTCAGCCAACGAACTTTGAACCTGTTTTTCGTGTAAGAACCCAGACATATTTGCAACTAATTGCATATTTATAAAGTTTGACAAATTGCTAATATTTAAATAATCCAATAACTGAATGAAGCACTCAGAAAACAAACATTGGCGCTGTGTTCCTATGGCAATGGCTGTGACTGTTTCACGCCTAGCACAACCTGCCAATCGGATTGATCTGCTGTTGTACGAGAATACGGAATCCAGACCTAGACAACCTACATAGTACATACTCGCTCATAGAGTGACCGACTGATTAGGCATATTTCAAATCACAATAATTGACTCAATTACATTTTTATGAAATATATCGCAGTGGAAACTTTACAGATTCCGTTTAATTGGCTGAAGGAATGTCCAGAGCGAGTCACATTCCTGGTGGTATTTCTGCTGCCAGCCGCCACGCGGAAGTTAGTCGCGATTAGTCCGTCAACTTGGTGTTGTCTGTGTGGCTAAATTAGCTAATTTATGAGCCTGCAGCGGCTAACACTCACTCACACCACTAACACTAGTTCAAGGTCAGATCAGAGCAGAGCAGAGCAGAGCTGAAACTAAGGCTAATGCAAAATAGTCGAGGCAACAGCCAACGAATCTGCATAAAATAAAAGTAGAAATCTCTTTGGCGGTCAGTTAATAGGCAGAGATAATACGCCTCTCAGTCTCCGCGCCGAATGTTTGATCGTATCGCAGAGCCACGCCCAGAAGTGAGATGGTGCTGCTGCCTCCTCTAGCTGCTCGAAAATGCAAGAGATCAGCTCTTTGGCTGCTTCGTTTTGTTTCCTCAAAACGTACGACCTTGATAGAGATTTTACAATAATGCGTTGCCGTTGATATTGCCGTTGCGTTAACTTTATTCCATCGATTGATCAGAGACTGCTTGCCGCTACGGCTTCAGGTTCAGGTTTAGTCTTTTGTTTCTCCTCAACATTCCTAGCCATTTCTGATGACGTTCAGGGCTTCCCATGAGACCTCTCGACCATCCAGAACTAAGTGTTCTAGAGGCTGTAAATATAAACAGATTGGGGTTGGGATGGGGATCGGAAACATATTCAGCCTCAAATTGCGCATACGCCACATGTGCTCTACGAACCAAAAATGGTAGGCCAACTTGACGACAGAAAAAAGAACGTGCAAATCTCTTTATACAGCCGCGAGTGCGACGCGTGTCTAGAATTTATCGGCCGACATATAGCCGGGCTGATTATCGCATAATAAACTGGAATGTGACGTCAGGGCTGTGGAGCTCATTTGGGAGTCGAATTCTATTTATTTGTCTTTCCATTATTCCATTATTTCATTTCATATTTACCCTGCCGTTGCCACGCACTCTCGCCTCCCTGACAATCGCTAATTGGAAGGCAAATGGCATCCAACAGAGTCCGACATTGGCGGAGACGCCTCCATTTGCGAAATACTCGCATATTGTGTCAAAGAATATTCAAAACGAGAGCATAGATGAGTAAATACTAGACAAAGGTCATCAGAAACCCAATGGGTGGGAATTCTGAAAGTCAGGATCAAATTCTAAAAACTAATCTGCCAAATAATGGTGACCCAACAGTTCTGACTTTGGATTTTCGGGTTTTTCGGCCACAAAGTCCCAACTAATTTGCATGTGGACATCGAACGTCGATCGAACGGTTTGAAAATCAATAGACAAATAAATATGCAAAATTTTACAGCAATTTCAATTCGCATGTTTTGTTGGGGAAGCGATGGTGATGGCCTCTTGTGATAAAACTTGAATTCTACAACTATTATCTTGATATTTATGACTGCTAACTGGTCATAAAAGAACTTCGCAGATGAAAGTCCCCAAAACCCAAAACCCAAAGTCAAAGTCAAGTTCATGCCTCTTCGCAGCCAATAAATCACGAATTTTGCGGAAACCGGTGGAAGTTTTTAGCGATGATCATACATATATTCTAATATTGTGCTTAGATAATACTTTATTTGAGCATCCAGTGGGTTTCTGCAGTTGAAATTTCATTAGCAGGTTAGTGGAGCAGTCTCCTCATAGATATTTCCACTTAGTATTTAAATTATTTATTAAATAATAATATCTGTGAGGCAAATAAAACCAGTTTATAATCCGGCTGATGCGATTTGCATTTAAATGTAGAATTATATACGTATCCGGTCTATGTTACATATTTAAAGTCGACTTTTTAGTCTCCCGACTAGTATAGATACAGTCACTAGATGGAGGCTCTCCCTAATGGTTAAGAAAAGTATTTGCCTAAATCTGAGAAATGTTGCTCGGCCTCGCCGCAACAACAATTGACAAGAGGCCCTCAAAATAATGCAAACAACTTGGTCGAAATTCTCGTTACCGCAAAATCCAACTGAATGAATGCATTTTGGTGAAGAGCGATGACTGAACAGAAAACGGTAATTCGAGGCGATTGCGCTCACTTGGAGTGCGATTCGGAGTTGGTGATGGCAGGTGGTGCATAATTAATAATTAACAAATAGAGAATCAAATCGAAGCAGAGCATTCCATTTAGTAGGATTTCCCATAGAAGCGAGGCTAGAGGCCAAAAGGCCTACAGGGGTAGAACCAAACTGGGCCAGCTGTCTGGCCAAGATCGGAGATTGAGCAAGCGGATCCAACGCAATGCCAGCCATGGGAAGCCATGCAGCTCCTGGGGTTCAAGCAATTATGGCCAAATAATGATTGATATCAGCGGCAGGTCTAGGAAGTGGCAAGAGAACTTGGTCTGGCTTTGGGCGGGTCTGATCAAGCAGAGACCCACTAACCATAACCATTAACACACAGAGATTGCAGCAGCCGTTGGTTGCATCCCGCAGGTTGGAGAACTGGTTTCCCTTCCTTGAAGACAATGCTATAAAATTAATGATTCATACGTGCCTGACTGGCCCGTCCTTGGGCACTGTCCTGCCGCTGTAGCCGGGCATGGGTGTGGGTATGGGTCTGAGACTAAGGCTGAGGCTGGGTATTTCCCCAGCCTGAACAAAAACTAGCCGAGGAGGGAGAACGACAATTTGGCCAAGTTAACGAAACTAAAGCGTAGCAGCCGTAAAACCAGTTCTCTGCACGTAAACCACATTGCGTCCCTTGGCCGGGGGCCTGCCGTTAAATGCCCTGTAACAATAAATGTACATCATAATCTTGGGAGGCACAAAAGAAGCCAAATTAATTGCTGATGCGGCAGTTCCAGCTCGAAAGAAATTCGAATCAGTAATAATCAAATATGAACATAAACGCAGGGTTTGTCGGATTTCCTTTTTTCCGCTGGTTCAACAGAAGTGCAATATTCGTCGGGTTATTGGCTTCCAGAACTTTTGCGGCGCGTTGCCTGATGATTACATAATTATATCAATTTGAAATTTCGCACTGCCATCATCGTAATCAAGCAAATACATATGTCAGACATATGTATGTATATGTATTTAAGTATATTCCGATCTGCTGGAGCGTGGGCGAGGCCTTGCCTTGGGTAGCATTAGTTTTGTGTGTGCACCGCTAATTAACAGGAACTACGGCTAGTAGCATCTTCTATTGGCTCTCCCCAAGGTCGCCCCAGGTGCTAATTATACTGCATGACCCACTTGACTTACTATCCCCCCAGGCACTGGCTGGATGATTATAATTTCATGATTTATTCTTCACTTATAGTTGGCAAGATGTCGGTCAGACTGAACGAGACGAACACTATTGTTGACCGGATGGTCAACTTCTTTGTGGAGCACGAGGATCTGCGCACAAAGGTGAGTCCTTCAGAGCGGACTAGTGCCTATTTATAGCCGAATTTTCGACACTTTTCACAGAGCTGGTTCCTTTCGAATGCCCCCGGACCACTGTTCACGATCCTGGCTGCCTATTTGTACTTCTGTCTGTATGCCGGTCCCCGGTATATGCGGGATCGCAAGCCCTTCGAGCTGAAGAACACGCTGCTGGTCTACAACGCCGTGCAGGTTCTCTTGAGTTTGGTGCTGTTCTACGAGGGCTATAAGGGCGGCTGGGGAGGACACTACAGCTACAAATGCCAGCCCGTTCCCTATGCCACGGATCCCATCTCCATGAGGGTAAACTATTTATAGAAGAGAGAGTTGTACCTAGAATCTACAATCGATTTTCGAATTTCAGATGGCCGGTGCTGTGTGGCTATACTACATTGCCAAGATCACCGAGCTGCTGGACACCGTGTTCTTTGTTCTGAGGAAGAAACAGCGCCAGATCTCATTCCTGCATCTCTACCATCACTCGCTGATGCCCGTGTGCGCCTTCATTGGAGTGAAGTACTTTGCCGGCGGCCATGGCACTCTCCTGGGCTTCATCAACTCCTTCATCCACATCATCATGTACGCCTACTACCTGCTGTCGGCGATGGGACCCAAGGTGCAGAAGTATCTGTGGTGGAAGAAGTACATCACCATCCTGCAGATTGTGAGTGCCTATTAGAGTGATGGAGCCACGTTCCGGCTGAATCTATAAATCTACTCGTATCTTTCGCAGGTTCAATTCTTGATCATCTTTGTGCACACGCTGCAGATCCAGTTCCAGCCCAACTGCAACTTCCCCAAGTCGATCGCCGCCCTGCTGACCTTCAACGCTGGGCTCTTCACCTACATGTTCAGCTCGTTCTATGTGCACAACTACAAGAAGGAGGCGGCTGCCCAGGCCAAGCTGACGGCGAAAAAGGAGTAGGACTAGGATTAGGAGCTTCTCTAATCTGTATATTTACATTTATCATTTATGGTCCTTATCCCTATCCCTCTGCCTATCCTCTTCCTCTCACCTCTCACCTCCCGCTTGCCCCTTTCCACTTTCGAATCGATCTTCCCTCCTAGTTATAGATTCATAGGTCAAGATGAATATTATTCACACTGTAGTCTGTTGTAAGCTTGTTTCGTAGTATTTCGTTAGTTTGAGGAAAACGGCTCATTTTATATTTGATCGAAACAGTCGCCATTGCACAATGCAATTTCTTAGCGTTCGATGTATTGGGAGTACCCGTACGAGTACTCGTATTGTATGTAGTGTTTCCGTAGAACCAAATATTATAGTTTAGTAGTTTAGCTATTACTTAATGGACTTGGCATGCATTGTTAGTCAAAGACAAAGACAAAACAGGGAACAGGCAAATGGCAAATGGCAAAACTCCTTTCTGAACTTTTGCCTGTCCTCCGACAACACCATGGATGGTCGGTCCTGTCTCTCGCTGTCTTTGGCATGCACATTTTATAAAGAAATGTTATTTTTTGTATATTTTATTTGCAAACAATAAAAAAACAACAACGATTTATATGTTTGAAAATCCTAATCGGGAGATAAGCACTATCAATAGAGATGACTAAGACTGCCACTACTTTGTGTATCTATCTCCTCTATCAGTATACTAATATACTGTATGTATATACTGTATATACTGTACACCATGGAGAAAGGTAAGAAAGCAACTGCAGGCACACTGCATAGTCACTCGGCCAGAGAACAGCGCCCTGATCACATCGAAGTCGGTCGTTCCGGAATCAGCTCGACTAATACTCTCACTGTGTGGCTTATCTCCGTGTACTAATATTTACTGAGAATGATAAAGAGTAAGATAGTGGAGGACAAGCTTGATACGCTTGTCTCGAGCAATGCAGTGCCGATCATCGATCTCGAAAATTGTGGTAGGCGCGCCCCACTTCCGGGAGAACCCATGAGATGCGGCTACAGCTCCATAGTATACAAACAATCTGTGACGGCTCGCGTCGGGCAACAGCTGGACAAGGCTCTTTCCGAGAAGGGGATCGCTCTACTGGTGAATCATGGCATACCCGATGAGAAGGTTGGTTCCTAGCCTAGATTTTTAACACTTCATCTTGATCACTGTTCAAATCCGCTCAGATCAAAGCTGCCTGGGATCAATTCGATCACTTTTTGGACCTGCCAGCTGAGGTACAGGACCGCTACAAACGAAAAGATGGCACAAACTACGGCTATGTCAGTCCCGGGATGGAACGCTTCGATGGGAAGACGCCAGAGCTGCGACACACGTATAATATTTGTAAACTGGACGACAAGAACCTCCTAGCGGAGACACTGCCAAAGTTTGCTAAGACCATCACGGAGCTGGCCCTTGATTTCCATAACTTGTCCCAGTTCATACTGTGGGCAATGCATTCCGGCCTGGGGACGCCTACCAACGACTTCGTTCGCAAGCACTCGGGGCTGCTTTCCGGGGATGATGTCAATATGACGACCCTTCGAATGATCTACTATCCGGCAATAGTGGACGATGAGCCTGGTCAGAGCGAGGGGGCCATTCGCTGCGGTGCCCACGTGGATTATGGCACGTTTACCCTTCTGACTCAGGACTCTGAGGGCGGTTTGGAAGTGCAACTACCTGGAAGCGAAAAATGGGAACGTGTGGGTCATCTGCCCGGAGCTATTCTCATAAATGGCGGGGAGATCTTATCAATCTGGACAAAGCAACGTTATCACGCTTTGGTACTGTCCTACACTTCCATTATCCAATAGCATACTCATACTAATCCTCATTCTTTTTTACAGCCACATCGTGTCATTGTACCTGAGAGCGTACAAATACGCTCTAGAGGAAGACATTCCATTGCCTATTTCTGTCATCCGGATAACTCGACGATGATTTCGCCCGGGGATCTTCTCCCAAATCAAACGGAGTCTGCGGAGGACTCTTCGGACGAGAAGTGAGTCTTACAGTATATGTTTTGAATATCCACAAACTAATATTCGGTTTTGTAACCCCCAGAATCTACAATGCCTATGAGCTGATTCAGAAAAAGTTTTCTGACACCTACGGCCAACGATCGCAAGGAGGCAACGAATCTTAACCAAGAATTTATTCTGATATTCATATAATCATATTATGCCATTCAAATAAAAATTGGATAAATATATTCTTTTTTTTTCGTTTATTTGAATTCATCCTGGAAAAAAGCTGAATACTATAACACTGTCTGCTGGCGATCTATCGATATACACATTGAATTTTCTATCGGATGCGATCGTGCTGCCATTTGCTGCTCTGCTCTTGTCGATTCCGTGATAGAAATTTTTAAAGGGTAGGGTCAAAATGTTACAAAGCTGATAATCCCTACTTAACCTTCTCTTGGATATTGTTCCCATAAAATAAATTAATTTTGTTTCTGTTTTGTAATACAACTTTAGGTACATTTTAGTTTAAATTTCCTAAGCTGAAAAGAATTTTTATTTTAGTAACATAATTAAGGCCATCGATGCGTCTGTAACCAAAGTTAAATTCCATACACAAGACCCTGTTAAATGTTAGAGATCGGAGGAATGTTAACCTTAACCGCCCCAACATTTTCGATTCGACACTTTTTCCCCCGCCGCGCGTCTAATTGTTTGTTGTGTGTTCCCCAAAACATTTCTTTTTGAAAACACTGTTCTTGCAGAGTTTGAGTTAAATATTAAATTCAAATTGGTAACAGCGTGCCAAAAAACGAGCGGAAGTTTTTGGCCTGGTTTTCAGCGTTCTTTCTGTTTCTCTGCACCCGTCCGCGTCGTTCAGGTGTATCTGTGTATCTGCATCTAGGTTAAATTCGCGAGTGTGTTACAAAATGATGGAAAGTGTGCAAAAAAACCACCAGAAAGAGATACAAAAATTGACTAACTAATCCGCGGCCTGGGGTTCGTTCGATGAAAAGCGAAACCTGTGCGAAAAAAGAAAGCGAGTTTCCACTGTAAGCCCCTACAAGATTTAAAAAAGAAAATAAACAAAACTGCGATATAAATCACAATTTCAGCTGAATAGGCGGGTAAAAAATAAATATTGTTTGGTTTTTTTTCGTGTTGCATTGAAAGGCAAGGCGAAATTTCATGCTGTTGCCACCAAATGCTTACTCATGATCGGCGGGGCCTTTCATACAAGCTCGTATTTCCCCCACGAACCACGATCCACGATCCGTATCCCCGACTCAGAGACGCGCAGGGCAGATTCAGACTTTGCCCAGACTTTGCTCTTTGGCTGTGGCTCATCTGGCATTTCCTGAACGACAGCCGACAGCCGACAGCCCGCCTGGCAACAGAAACAGACAGAGGCAGAGACGCTCTACAAAAAAAAAACAGCTGGCCAGCTAAGCCGAGCCAAGGGGTGAAATGCATGAAGGCTCACACCTGAGTCCGTTAAACGAGATCTGCCAGATACATATCATGGCATAAGTGTGCGTGTGTGTGTGTGAGTGTGTCTGGGAGAGTAGTTTGCCAGCCTTTTCATACCCACACAGCAACAGGAGACAGCGTACCTGAGCCACGTTCACGTTAATGGCCATCGCAAATACTGCAAAAGCGAACTGAGACTCAGACTGGTACGGTGCTACCTGTGTTTGAGCACCGAGCTCTTTGGCTGTGGAGATAGTCTCACCTTTCGTTGGCAATGTACTCGCAAGTACTGACGAGTACAGACACACACACAAGTACAAGTGCTAATTTAGTTATCGCAAATTTTGATTTGATTAAATTTTATCTAATTGCGACGCACAAGCAGACAGAGGGACAGAGACAGAGTACAGTGTACAGTGTACAGTGAGTATCCCCCCCACCCCCCCTCACACACACACAATCAGTTGTTGGCTTGGCTTTTTGCAAAATATAATCGTAAACTGACGCAGAATCGTTCAACTGTCAGGTGAGATACGGCATACGGCATACGGCAGCGCGCAGTCGTTGAAGAGAGAGAGCCAAGTCAGTCCGTTGAAGAAGCGCGCCCCGATCGCTACTAAAATTCAATATATCGAATCAATCCGACACGCGCCCTTCCCACTCCCAGTCCCCCGGCCGTTCCGATTTCGGTGGGTGTCTCCCACCAGTTGCCGCCTCTTTTGGCGTCACTAATGCCTGACCGACCGCCAGAATATTCGTTCGATTGAAACAAACAAAAAAAACCCAAACACAAACACACGATCTATTCAAACAAAAACAAAAACAATAAACCCTCGAATGCGTGATTTTAGTATTTGTTTTTATATTCGCCTGAAAACTGAAAATCCACAATCAACCCGATCAGCAAACGAATAATAACCAAAATAATAATCAAGTTCTCTTCGCCTCGCCATTCAGTTCTATTTAGTCAGTCGTCGGCGCTGAAAGTGCACTGTGCTCTCCACTCCTCTCCGGTTGGGGTTGGGGATCGATCGGCTCTGTCTCCAGGGGCTCTCCAGATAAAGTGCTCACCAGAACTGAAACCAAAGAACTCTAGAAGTAGAGGAGCAAGGAAAGCCATACATCTGACAGATACACACTCTCATCGACAACAGCATCACCACCACAAACAAAATGCTGAAGACAAAATCAAGTGACGACAAGCTGGATACGCTCCTGTCGCGCAGCGTAGTGCCGATCATCGATCTGGCACACTGTGGTGAGTACTTCTACATCTTCCCAGGGGCAGATTCTTGTCCATTCGTTGAATACCGCTGTTGAAATGTCCCATAACCGAATGGAGTCACTGAATGCGAAGTGGCCATGAACACGTGAACGTCGAGTGCAACATTCTAGTAAAATTCCACTAATTGTGTGGTATCCCTCTGGACTCAAGGCAGTTCAGAGCTTCATAGCCTTCGTAGCATTCCGGTAATTAACTACAATCTCAGCTACTACTGGTACTGCTGTTGCTGCTGCCGACTGAGTCATCTGTCCACTGTTTTGGGTGACTGTGCGGTGTGCGTGATCCGTCCATGGCTCTCCTCTCCCTTAATTGCAGTGATTAGATTTCGCCGTGTTTCGTGGTGTTTTTGTGGAGTTCAAGCAACGTCGTAGTTAATTGAAAGTAATTATTGACTTGTGCAACTGACACCTGCACCTGGGACCCTTTTGCGAACAGACGAAAAGATGAATAATGCAAATGTGATTTACAAGCTAGCGAGATAGAATCTCTACATATATACATACTTAGGTATTGCCGAAGACTTTACAGTCATCGTCATAGATATGGTACAAAACAAGCTCATATTCGGGGAATGAATAAACATTGATTCCAGGAAACGGATATATTTGTAATTCGTCTGTATTTTTGTTGATTGTCGAGCTTGCAATTCTAGATGAATGGTTCTTGTGATAGAACGGACCAGAAGTACCCCTGTCTCAATCACTATTGACCTTCTATCTCTTTCAAGCACCGAAAAAACATCACAGATCAGAGCCATTGACCCTCAAACAACAATTTAATCATTGTCTCGGTGTGTTTTAAAGTCATCGGAACTTCAATTGGATATTTCTTGTTTTATTTAGTTTTGTTTTGCTTGGCTCCGACTTGAAAAGGTTTTTGAACTACGATACATACACACTCGTATATATGTATGTACATATGTATATGATTATAGAGTGGAGTGGTTTGTGGAATTTTTTCGTTGGTCCCCCAAAATGGAGCGACATGCGAGCAGTGCGGAAACTCAAACAAAACGCATCATCACAGTGCGTGTATTTACATTTATTTGTGTTACGAAACCTGATTTTGTTGAACATTATTGTGCGGTGTTGTGAGACCTGCACTGGAGGCCAGTCGACAAGGGGAGCTGTTTGTTTGCTTGGGTAGTATTTCCCGGCTGGAATTCTCTCAGTGAACAGTTTTGGGGACACTGACGCATTTGGTCAAGTGAATCCCTGGCACGTCATCAGACATCGACTCGGCTACCGCATTGGGCCACTTCCCACTTGACAAATAAATGCCATAAAAACACTACCAAAAAAACCCAACACTGCGAGCATATTAAGTGGCTCTGCAACCGATTGAAACCAGCTTAAACCTGTTGATTCTCGGTCGTTGAAGCTGACGTGCCTGGCGCTTGGTATTGGCTCGTCTCTCTGCTACTGGCCAGACTTCTGCGGGTTTTCTCCTGACCCTATGTTAATGTGATCCACAAAATTCAGAATGAATTGAGTTCTCAGCGGATCTTCGCGGCAGACTTGACAGCTGCCCAAACAGCACGGAAGCCTTCAACCATCATTTTGCGCTTATTTTTCACACTCAACGTTTTGCGGCTCCAAATTGATGCTAAGCTTTATTGATAGGTACAAATATGAGTAGTATTCTGTATTCTGTTTACTGCCTGCCTGCCAGACAAATTACCTTCTTCGATGCCGTTGACTTTTGTATTCTCAATGCCATTAGAATTATTATTTCCATCTGCAAACCATTCTGCCCCATGCAGGGAAAACCACTTTTCCTGGCCCGCAATTCAGTTTGCTATAAATAAATTATAGCCACTGCACGGCCATACTCCTCTGCAAAATTCCGCAACTAAATTGCTGCCATAATAGCCGTATACTATATATGTTTCGATAGCAAATAGGTCTATAAATAATGAATTAAGAATTGCCAGCCAATGAAATTTGGGTTTTTCGCTTGGCGAGCGGTTAAATCTATTTGCAGAACCAATCTTCTTGATGAGTGTTTTCCAATGATACATACGTATGTACCTTGAATGGAACTTATTAGAACCATAGAAGCAATTGAATTACAGACAAAGGGAATGCCTAGAGCACGACTGAAAGTTAATGGCTGGCCATAAATGCATAAAAGCCAATCAATTTTCAACGATTGAATTGTACAATACGTAAACAGAAAAGATGTACCAATACGAGTACCCATGCCAAAAGCATGTGGAAAGCAAACAGAGTCGAGAAATTTCTGTTTTTGTATGTGTAGTGCTCTTTGGCTGCGTTCCACGACTGCGAGTCGAGATGATCTTCAAACGAATTGGCCTCCCCATTGGGGGGAGGGGGGAAACTACTCGTATTCAGTTGCTATTCTACTGACTCAATTAGCTAAATTAGCAACAAGTTAGCACTAACAACTCGTACTACATGTTCATGTACGCGAATGTGGCATCTGTGGCAATTGAAAATGGCAAATTGAAAAGCGACTCGCATCCCAATTGGCGCCTAATTGAATTGCATGCAAACAGAAACCGCACACCAGCAGAAAACAACAAAAACTAAATTATAAAACCTTAAAAATACAACTGGACCGACTTCTAATGAAAACGAAAGGCGATATGTTGTGTCGTCAATTGAATTCATTCAATTCATCGCCCGACTGACCTCCCTGTGCCTCATCATCATCATCATCATTATTCGGAACATCATCTGGGCTCTGACTCTGGGGGGCCTTCAATGCCTCCCATCTGTAAGCGGGCAGTGGAGGGGAAGAGCACTTTCCAGCAATTGCCGCCTGGCGACAGTACACTCGGTGATAAGAACTGGAACGCAACACAACGTAATTGTTATTAACTGTGAAATTCTGATACTGAAATCGCTTATCAGCCTTCCGAGTATGTGAAAGAGTGCGTCATGGGCTGAAAGCTCTAGCTGAAGCTCTAGCTCCAGCTCTAACGTGGGAACCTAAAAATAGATGTCCCATACGCCCTGTGTGTACCCCCCATATGTGGGATATACATGGACATAATTATTTTGCATTCACCGTGCATTCATTCATAGCGATCGAAAGTAGATGGCAGAGGGAAGAGGGCTGTCGAAGGCCTCATAGGGAAGGCTCATGGGGAAAACCCCACAGTTGATATCTTGAAGAGCAGACACTTCCAGATAAAAAAGTGACGAGTATCTTGGGGCGGGCTCTGGCACGGCAGGGTCGCGTGCTGAATGGCGGAATGGACTTCCGCTGCGGTTTTCCTTGCATTTTCTATTTTCTATTTAATTTTCCGCTGCGCACACTGCCATACTGCCACACAGTCGTGGCCATTATCGGCAACGCCATCCGCTCGCATTGAAATTGATTGCATTTACTACCTTTATTGCTTTCTTGCCTTTTTGTGTGGCACGGCAATGAAAGTGTGCCGCCAGCTGTGGGGTCTTTCGGGGCTGGGGGATGATTGTCTAAGGCGATTCGACTGCTGGACGGGACGCTTACGTTGTGTTGGGTAAGCGGCACGTGGATAGCTGCTCAGCCACGCTTCTCAATGGGCAAGCCGTGACATTCAAATCATTTAAAGCATTCGAGTGCCCGAGAGTCGGTTATTTATGGCAGGTGTTCCATATATGTGTGTAGGTGTGCCATAAACACACGGCCATTACCCGTACTTTAAGATTGCCAGCTAGCGGGGGTACTTGTATTTCCAAGAACTCGTAAAACAATTGACGATTAAGTGTAGGTTCCGCTGGCCATTCCCACGCCAGCTAATCGTGCTTATTTTCTCCTTTGTTGTATTTTCCAGGCATTGAGGAGGTGCCTGTCAAGTCTGTGGTCAATCGCGTGGGCCACCAGCTGAAAAAGGCCCTGTCCGAGAAGGGTATGGCTCTGCTGGTCAACCATGGAATATCCGACGAGAAGGTAAGCGACGCGACGCCATCATACATCATCGCTCAGCGAGCTCTAATTATTGTCTGCTTTCAGCTTAAGACTGCCTGGGATCATTTGGATGATTTTGTGGACCTACCGCCAGACGTCAAGCAGCACTACATCCGCACAGATGGCGACAAGCATGGCTATGTGAGTCGCGGCCAGGATCGGTACGCCGGGAAGCCCGGTGCCCCCGAGCTGCGTCACGCATTCAACATTTGCACACTGAATGCCCAGAATCTGCCAGAAGAGCCGCTGCCCGGATTCGCGGACCACATCAGCACACTGGCCACGGACTTCAAGGCGCTGGCCAGCTTCATTCTGCAGTCGCTGGCCGTCTCCCTGGACATTCCGACCACGTTCTTCCTCGAAAAGCACTCACACATGCTGTCCGGCGACCACGACAACATGACCTCCCTGCGAATGCTCTACTACCCCCCGATCGTGGACGACGAGCCCGGCCAGAACGACTCCATCAGGGGGCGCTGCCTCTACAGCTACCAGCGCTGTCTGTCCAACCAGCCGGACTTCCGACCCGAGAACAATCCCCGCGACGAAGCCGAGCTCAATGAGCTGGACGGGCCCAATGGCCAGGTCTTCGAGCACAAGCTTGGAAACGGAGCTGTCATCACCTGCCCACCACATGTGGACTACGGCACGTTTACTCTGCTGGCCCAGGACTCGGAGGGTGGCCTGGAGGTGAAGCTGCCCGGCAGTGAAAAATGGCATCGCGTGGGCCATTTGCCCGGCTCCATTCTGGTCAACTGCGGCCAAATCCTGAACACTTGGACCCAGGATCGCTATCCCGCCTTGGTGAGCCTTGCCCAACCGATCGACTAAATAAATGTTCCCAGCTAATGTGGATTTTGTCCTTTTTTTGAATGCAGCAACACCGCGTCGTTGTGCCTGAACAGGAGTCGGTACGGTCTCGGGGCAGGCACTCTATTGCCCTCTTCTGCCATCCGGATAACATAACCATGATATCGCCCAGCGATCTGCCCAATCCAGATGCCGCCCAGGACGTGTGTCTCAAGCAGCGCAAGAAGTCCTTCAAGGCGGCGAAAGAAAGGTGAGCGATTCGATTCAATTCAAATCAATTTCCTGTACTAATATTATTTTCCCCTGTTTTTCTTTTTTCTGTTTTGCTGCTTGGCTTATCGGGCCGTAAATTTCTCAGAGTCTACAATGCATATCAGTTAATACAAAAAAAGTTTAGAGATACGTATAGCAATAACAATCACTCATAACGAGGGGCACCACACGGCCTCTGCCCCACCTGTCGCATCTCTACCTGAGCAGAAATGAAGATCTTCGTGTGGATGGGTGTAACGAGTAGAGTGAAAAGAATGAAAGAGCACAACACACTTGATGTTTTGAACCTTTTTATTATTATTACTTTATTCCATACGATTGTAATTGCTTCATTTCTTGAATGTACTCGTACACGGGTACTCCACATACAATACATACATACATACATACATATGTACATGCATATCATTTCCCTTTGTATAATAAATATATATATAATATAATATAGTTTCCACTGACAAAACGCTTGTTAACATTTACCCAAGTCGAGAGAGCGCGAGAGAGAGTTTGTCCCTCGGTTCTCCCGCTTGTGACACTTGGAAGGTATCTCAGCTCCGATTCCGAAAATTGACCCACAATCGACAATCGCAGCCACCAACAGATTTGTATATACTCGTATTTTCCACAAATTAATTAACATTCTGACGTTCGTACCTGTTTGCTACCACGTTTCCTCCACGTACAATAATATTTGTATTACATATTTAACGGGCCACAGGGCCACAGAGTTACGTATAATTCTACAAGTTTGCACATTTATTGGTAATTACTTATTGCAATAATGTGGTCTGCCGTTCTCCGGTTTGAATGCCTTCCCACCACATATTGTACACATCAATAATACACACGGATACGAGTATTTCTAACAATTATTTTACCATTATTATTATTGCTCACAATTTGTAATTTCATTACAAAATATTGTAAGCTTTAGCTCAACGTTTCTCTTGGACATTTATTTGATAGCGATTCTGTTTCTGTTTTGGCTTCTTGTTTATTCTTTATTTATTATTTTGTGTGACATCTATTGGCTACACACAAGATACACACGATAGATTTGGGGATACAATCTTCTACACACACAGATCTACATACATACATATATACAATTACAGACACGGTCAAAGCCTAGGTAAATTGTATTTCAAATAGCCGCACTCATTGTCATAAAGGTACAATAAAATGTAGAAACGAAATGAATCAGTCAGTAACGTTAGGATAGAGGCGCTGGAGCAGAGTCATGCACGGTCCACATGAGATATCATATCTCTTCGTTTGGGATGTGCGAAAGTTATCTGGGACTGGATCACGGAATGAGTCGACTAGCAGCTATCATCATTTAGTTATTTAATTTTCTCCTCCAGCGTTTGTTTAATTTATTTATTTATAACCAAAAGTCACATGCCTCCTACCGTCAGTTGACATGCCAATTTGCTGTTCAACTAAATCGTATAGCTACATATTGTTTATGACGCTTTTTGCCGTTCGAAGCAGTTGATTAACCAACTGCCCGACACGTGTGCCGTACACCTGGTGATACCCTAAGATTGCTTCCTATTTTAGGCTCACTTTTTTGTATATTTAATCAATCAGGTACGAGTATACTCGTATGTTTTGTATTTCCTCAACGGATGCAATGCTTTTCTCAGGACAATGCACCTGGAAATCTTTCGGGCTGGCATTTACACGACATCGCAATCAGGCACGTGAGTCAACAACAGTAGCAATGCGGCAATGAAATAATTAAAACTCTTTTGTCTGAGAGTATCCCCCAGTCGTTCTATCCCTGCCCGCCCCTTCGTTTGCTCATTTAACATTAATTTAGCTAACAATATTTGGCTACATTTCGAATGTTATCGGCGTTGCTGACGGCAAACTTATGCCGTGGCGTTCTTCAGTTTAAACAAAAAGCGCCGAAAGTTAAATAAAGCAAATATTGACAAGACTGTCGTACGGGCGGACCGGCAGACGGGCAGACACGGAGGGAAAGGAAAATACTACCTATAATATACCCCGTAGTCATTCCGAATCCGAAAGAGAGGGCCGGACGGTTGCCAATTTGTCGACAGCAGTGAGCTCTTAAGCCGGCGCTTTAAATAATGACTATGAATCGCAGGAAAAAAGTGAGCGTTTGCTTGTATTCGTATTTGGAACGATTTAATATTTTAGACAAACAATTCCAGCCAATTTCTTGTTTGTTCTATGCTGAACCCCGCTGAACTGCCTTTGATTTATGGGGGCGACGAGCGACGGCGAACGGCGATGACAAATTTGGGGTGGGAGTGTGGCCCAGGGGCGTGGCAGTTACAGTTGTGGCCGAAAGCGAGAGTAAACCAGGCCCAGCATGAGCGATAAGTGTATTGTGTGTGCTTTCAGTAAGATTGTCTAGGCAACAGAACAACGGCTGGCATGGGGGGCTAGAGAGGTCTACAGAACAGTTCTATGAATGTCAATTGCATCTACATACAATACCTTGTATCTCATATCTTGTATCGACAGTTGCATCAGCAGGTAAAGATAAAGGTAGAGGTAAAGGTAGCTATAGTTCATATGAGTATACTCCTTATTTATGTGGCTTTGCACTACATACAACATTAGTGAGAGACTTGAAGTCCGGCAGCTACTAGGTACTAACGACAGAGCAGAGTAGAGTGGCTAATAGACCCAATGGATATGATTATGTTAGTTTTGCTCAGGGCTCTCTCTATATATGCATATTTGTATGATTATAGTATGTGGTTATATAGCATATGACACTCATCTATATAGTATGTATGTTTCTTTGGTTTTAGTTCTATGAACAAGATCATTCGAATGTATAACGAAAAGGAGTTCAAAACAGTTCAAAACTAAATCATTTCTTTGAGAAATATCAAACTAAATTCAAGTTCTAACCAAATATTTGCCTACACTTTTCTTTTTTTATGTTTTTTACTGTAATTGCATTCCTTTTCCACATCCTCATATTTTCTATAGGTAAACAACTAGCTCTAAATATACGTATATCAAACATACAATATCATATTTTACATATACTCGTATATTCACTTGTGTTTCTCTAAATGTCAACTGAATGCTTACTGAATGCTTTATGGAATTCCTTGCTCGTTTTCATGTCGAAATATTTCTATCTGTATTTCCTTGTGAATTTTTTGCTGTTGCACCCTTTGAAGGCTGACTTTTTATCTGTGGGATTGTCGTTTTGTTCTTGTTGTAGCTTTTGTTTAAATTCTGTGAATTCCTGCCGATGCAGTGAGTGTGGGAATTTGTGATTAATTTTTTAATCTGGCAATAGCTTTGCACCTATCGACAACTACACAATCATATATGTACACACACTAAGCACACAGAGGCGGAGGAGCATCCCAGGGAGACTAGTTGGTGTAGAGAGGATGCAACTGCTGCTGGGCATCCGTGGTGGGTGTCACATTGACGGCGTACTGGCGGGCTCGCATTACACCCATGTGTATCTCCGAGGAGGCCGTTGAGTTCATACAGTTGGGCATTTCGGCCGATCCCGAGCCGACCCTGGCCCCGTTGGTCCCCCTCCTGCTGGGGCCGCCAAAGTCCAGATCCCGGCCGCCCCTCCGGTGGCTGGGGCGACAATCGATGAACGCATAGGAGCAGCAGCTCTATGGGGAAGAGAAAAACAGAGACACATACGCACAAGTCCGCAATGAGATTGGTGAAGGAGCAGTGCCTGGAACTCTGGCCAGGGCATAGTCCGCTGGTATAGTATGTGTATTAGATGTGTTATAAGTTAATAGAGCTGCCACAGAGACGTGGCTTACTACTTTGGACGAGTATATGTAGTAACAGTACTTAAAGGTTAAGCATAGGCAAACGACGTTGGGGACGGGACGGGACGGGACACGACGAGAGGCACGAACGAGCAGGCGGGCGACAGTCGACAGGGGTGGCAGAGGCAGGGGCAGAGAGCAAGCGGATAGATGAAGACTTTGTGAGCGAGTGGTGGCGGCGGCACATGTCTGTGACAATTTGGTTTTACACAAAAAAAAAAAAAGAAAAACCCAAAAATGGCGAAAAAGGACAAACAAAAGTACACAGAAAAAATGCTAAACTCAAAATGAAAGACAACATTCGGGAGGCGAAACAGTTGATACCCTCGCAGATCCGTCATGGATACTGTAGTGTATTATATGGGTTCTTCTGTGGATCTAATTGGTTTTGGTTGGCACTAGTTCGAATTTCAGAAAGTGAGAAGAGAGTTGCAGGTCTGCAGATTGAGATAGATCTGTGCAGGAAAAGGATAGATGATCATTGATCATATACATAAAACATACAGACGGACATGACCATATCGAGTCGACCATTAAATATGATCAAGAATCACAAACATTAATCTACATACTCAGTAGAAACCAAAACGATGATTACCAAATCATAATGCCCTTAGAATTTGAAGGGTATGAAAATGCTAAACAAAGTGAAAGACCGGATATTCGTAGAAAAAAGGGATCCCATGACCATAGTCCTGTGTGTGTTTGTGTGCGACCCTTTGGGTAACTGTGTGGGTGCATGTGCGTGTGTTTGTGTCAAAGTGTGGCACAAAAGGGGACATTTTTTCGAAAGGAAAGGAATAAAAAAGAGCCAGGAAAAATAACATTTCATCATCAGATATTTGTGTTTCATACATCTTTGTGTGTGTGTGGAAGGTGTTGTTGGTGTTGTTGCGGCTGCTGGTGGCGGGCAAGTGAGTGTGTGAGAGGGTGTTGGTGTGTTAGTGTGCATACTCATACATATACAAGTGGAGAAGAGCTTTTGCTTTTAATTTAAATATTACATTTTATGCTTTCTATTGCATACTCGGGCGCGTTTAGCTTTTGTCGGGCATAAGGCAACGAATCAGCAAAGAAAGCCCCAGCTGTGCATGGAAGAAATACAGAGAGAGAGAGAGAGATAGAGAGAAAGGTAAGCAAGATGTTGAGCGATTAGAGAGCTAAAGCGCTAGACCGACTCCAGGCAGTACATCCTGTTTCCAGGCAGAACCCCGGAGCCAGGAGCTGGCTTTCGATGTGAAGGAGCGAGAGTATGTCAAAGGCAGTCAAAAGCAGGCAAAGAGGCAGACAGAGCACGTGCAGAGATTGTTCTTCAGGCAAAAATGGAATAGAATTTGATGAGATTTTCTTTCAAGCAGCCATAACAATATCTAATAAGTACGCTACTCTTTCTACGCTTCCAAGTCGAGCTACTTGGCTTACTACTTATGGGCCAATGTGGCTGCAGGAGATACAATAGGTACTCGTAGCTACCAAAATGTGCGCCCCTATGGCGGTGGCTCTTCTCGATGTGGCTGTTGTACTTCTCACTCGCATTCGCATTCGTATTCTCATTCTCGTGGCCGTGGCCGTGTGGCTGTCCCCGTCCTTGGTCGTTGCAGCAGTCGCTGGAGCTCTTAACTAAGTCTAGGACGGGTGTGCAGAGAATTCAGTGGTAATGGTGGGGCCGAATCAATAGCGGAATTGAACTGAATATAACTCAATGTCGGAAACAGGTAAAAATTACTCAATAGATGGCCCCCACGCCCAACCCAAACCCCATCCGCACCACGCACCCGTACTCACCTTGAGCGTCTTCTTGAAGGCAGCCCTGAAATCGCGATTGAAGTATGCATAGATAATGGGGTTCAATGCCGAGTTGAAGTAGCCGATCCAAAAGAGGATGCCCACCACGACACGCGGAGTAATGCAGCTATCGCAGAGGGACGAGACGATATACCTGTTCGGCGAAAAATGGAGAGATTACACGATGATTGGGAACTGTATCAAGTGTACTGTACGCACCATAGGAAGAAGGGCAGCCAGCAGAGGAGGAACGCGCTCATTATGATGCCCAGAGTGCGGGCCGCCTTTCGCTCCCTCCGCATCGTCGTTATGGTCGATTGCTCCACCTGAATGCTCGGCCGAGGCTTGGGTATCTGGCTTATCTGCAGATGCTTCTCCAGGAGGAGGGCCGCCACTTTGGACCTGGCTCGCACAAGTAATTAGCGTTAATTGCCGCTGGGCAAATGAATTGGCCACTTGGCCAATGTTGGCAATGTTCGGTTACCTGTAGACGAGACGCTCCTGCCGGTCGGCCTCCTGGTAAATGCGATAATACATCGACAGCATCACGATTCCCGGTATCCAGAAGCTCATCGACGAACTGACAATGGCGTACGCCTTGTTCACTTTAAATTCGCATATCTGGCAAATTGGTAGAGCAAAGCAGAGCAGAGAAGGGCAAGTCAGAGAGGCAACTCAATTAGAGCCCGTTTCGAATGTCAATAAATCAAAATGGCTGTGGACGTGGTCGGGTACCACACCCATCACCCGCGATCCAGTAATGGAATGTAATGCAACTTGCGGCTGCTCAACGTTGCGTATGCGTAATGCGATTATTGCAATGCCAAGTGCGGCAATAAAAACTCAATTACAGCGTGCATTACGGCGCTGCCAGGAAGGACAAAAGGCCAGCCAGAAGACATCTAATCAGATTTATGGCAAGGACGAAGTTCCACCCGTCCGACAGACACCATGTTCCTGCCTTCTTGTTATTAGCATAAACAAGTAAAACTAATTAAAGCCCAACTCGAATGCTAATTTATGCAAAGGCCTTTCATTGGGGAGCTTCGGCAGGCGGGCAGGCAGAGAAGGAGGCATGACAGGTGAGGCACAGAACAGACAGAACGGACAGAAACAGGCAGGAACAGGACGCGAAAATTATGCACAGCCTGTGCCAAAGTCATACCCAATGCAAAGCCCAAATAGAATTATGTACATTTATTTCTACATCAGCATTTTTATTGCGCAATGAGACCTGGAGGAGGAGTGGAGGAGTAGCTGACGGAGCATTGGGGATTGGGCTGCATCGGCACCCTCAGAAGTTGGCAAATATTTGGACTGGGCGGGGCCGAGTGTCGAAGCAAGTGGTAGGTAGGATAAAACCAATAAAATGGAGTAATAAATATGCTACCTGTCGGCTGAGCGCCTGAAAGGCGTAAAACTGCTTCGGCCACACAGAAACATAAATCAATTTCCGTTGAGACGGATACAGGGCCCGGGGCTAGCATCTGTCTATGGGGTGTATCTTGATGTTTGTGCGCGCACACGCTCGTGTGATGTGATGCAAAATGCATGCAAAGTCGATACCGCACACAGACACTGAATGTATATCAACTGAATTAGAATTTTCTATTAGTTTGATGTGCTAGAAAATTGAATAAATAATGCACAGAGCAGTCCGGGGTAGGGCAGGGCACGGCAGGGAAGGGCACGGTAAATTGAACTTCAAACCAATCTGTAACCCATATCAAATTGAATGAACTTAGAAAGTGGTTTCCCACATTGATTCACCTACTTAATTGGCTTCTTCCATTTACAGTGTGCAGACTGCAATCAAATGCATTACAGCCCCCTCTTAAAGTGCTCTACTCACATGGGGATTCGACTTGAGATACTTCCAGTTCTCGCTCGTTGTGTACCAGCCCGAGCAGATGGGCAGAAAGGAGAGCAGCGCCGGCGACAGCCAGACCATCAGGAGCATGTAGCCGACCCGCCGATGCGTCATAATGAGCGGATAGTCCAGTGGCTGGACAATGGCATAGTACCTGGATGGAAACTTAAATTAGATTCCTATTCCTTTTAATGTGCGAAAGTCTGGATCACTCACCTGTCCACCGATATGCAGCAGAGGTGCATTATGCTGGCCGTGGAGAAGTAGACATCAAAGCTGTTCCACATGTCGCACATGATGGAGCCGAACATCCATTTGCCCGATATCATAACGGAGGCATTAAATGTCATCGCACAGAGGGCCACCAGCATGTCGGCCACGGCCAGTGAAACCACAAAGTAGTTGGTAATGATGCTGCAAAAATGAAAGAAAGCGTAAAACCAACGACCACACGGAGAGACGCACGAGACTAGGCGAAAGGCGAAAGGCGGAAGGACACACACGGAAGCCACTCTTCTCGAAGACTGCTCTCAAACTGCTCTCAAATTGAATTTGAGCATTAAGCTTTCAGCTCTCAGTGGCACTCTGCTCTTAGTGCTAATCGCCTCCTCAGACTTGGGGCTCTAAAGTTGAAAACTTTGACGCACATCCACACCCGCACCATCGTGGCACACACATTGCGCATTCGCCGCGTGTGACCGCCAGTGAATGTGGCTTGGCGCGGCGCTTCTCAGAGTGGATTTCATTGTTTAATGGGTTAATTAATAATTAGCTTAACGCCGCCACAACTTCCACCGACAATCAGCAGCATTGCGTGGCACCGCAAAACGTTAAGTCAATTATGTGCACGCGGCGTATACACAACATGGCGGATGGCAAATACGTTTATCGGCGAGGGCCGTCCGAACAGATTTCCAGCACACACAACCCACTTACAGCCAAGAGTGAATCATACTTTTCCAATGAATCTTTGACGAAGGAAATTAAAGAAAAACCCGACTGAAATAATTTAATATGAATGACGGGGGGGGGAACTTTCGTGTATTCGTACTCACACCAAGGCCAGAAGTGAAATTCAAGCCGAGTCGTTGCTTGACACTGTCTTTGACCTATATCGTCTATCAATATCTAAATCTAGACTGGCTAACTATGGGTCTCGTCTTCCTTCAGCTACAGTGTACGTTTCGCCGGGACATTGAACTGCCGCCCACAAACCTAATTAAGAGTACCGAGCCGCAAAAGGGAGTCAACCGACCGGTTGAGGGCGAGCTTTAACCACCGCAAAGTCCTATACAAAGCGCACAACAGCCGCATCAAAGGGAGAATGAAAATGTTATTGAGGCGTTGCTCGAAAGCCGATTAAATAGTGGGTGGACGTACAATACAAGAGGAGGACAGACACAGTAGGAGGAGGAGGAGGAGGAGAAGGAGGAGATTGGGTTGAGGATGGTTGATAGGTGTCAAGTTTGATTACAATTATGAGTTGGCAGCTTTTCTGCCGTCCGACGATGGAAGTGCCAGTGGCATGGCAGCTAATAGGAAAAGAAAGAGGAAGTGGAGGAAAACAGGAAACTGACCTTGCCCGCGTGGCCATGAAGGAAGTTGCTCTTTAATTTGTCACTTTATTTATTGATTGCTGAATGTCAGGGAATCCTGTTCGGTTTATAATGGAGGTTTATCGTGTAACTGTCCATCTCTCATGGGATATGTCTATCCCCATGCGAGGCCATGTGCGTAGAAGATGGAGGAGGCCTAAGTGGGAATACATGTTGTTTCGTAATTAAGTCTAATTTGCCGTGATGATTTAAACTGTGTACCGAGGCATAAAAGGTGAAAATGGTGCGGAAAACGCACATGACAATGAGCACAATAATGGAGGAGCAAAAAGATGAAGACGAAAGCGAAAGCGAGGGCGAGGGCGAGGACGAAGGTGAAGGAAAGGAAGACCCACAAACCGTCGAGATAAAAATGGCAACATGAAATACTCGTAGACGCAGTCAGGGTCAGGTCCCAAATTGCCTGTCCCTGGCAGGCTAAATGAGCCTCTGTCTCGGTCTTGGTCTCGGTCTCAGCCTCATAGAGAGAGACACACACAAATGTCAGGTGTGTGTGCCATGTCGCCAAGGCATTGCCAAGAGGCAAAGGCAAAGGCAATGGCAATGGCAACGTTTTCTTGAGGCTGCTTTAATAGTCTTCTGCCTTGACATTGAACGTACCGGGGGTTAGGTTACAGCATTGTCGCCTCGAAGCCCCTTTTCCTCCTCCTCTGGCCAGCCCATACTTATTGTCTGAGTGTTTTATGTTTGGTTGTTTAAATGCCAGCGATGTTGGGCTTATGAATTTGCGGCTAAAACACGTACAGAATGACGAAGCCCAAGGCGCACCACCTGGAAAAGCGACCCCCCACAGGCATATCTCATGTGGAGGCGGCGCTCAATTCATAAATTTGACAAATTATATGGCCGCACATAAAGTAAATGGCAATAGCAATGGCAATGGCGTCCCCTTAAGTAGGCAGCCATATTTTTATGCTCGCTGTTTATTAACATTTCTAATGTAATTACGCCCGTATCCGTATCTAGGTATTTGACTCTGTCGCTGGGCAAAGGAATCAACCAGCCACGCCCCATCCATCGCCTCGCAAAATCCAATGTACGAGTACAAGACGAGTTCTGTTCGCCTGACACGCAAAAATGGTTGGAAAAATATGATAAATGATGACAAATTAATGGCCACACCAAAACGAGGCGAACCCCATCGCGGTCAACATCGCAAGCGAAGCAGCACTCGGCAGGAAGGTGCGAAATACGAGCCAAGGCCAGAGGCCATGTCCTTGACAACTATATCTGACAATGTCACATCGGGTAGTCCGCACAATTCAACAACAACAGAAGTGAAAGAATCAAGACAGAACTGAAGGAAAGGAAATACGCTTACAATAAATTCATCATTCAGAACTTGTCACTTGAATAAAGCTCTCACGAAATAAAATATATATATTTACTCGAAAGCAATCGAAGAGAATTTAATGAAATTGAAACCCAGTCGATTAACATGGACCACTTGATACTCGGGCAATAAATTAATGAGAAGGCGACAAGCAAGCGGTCGGTCAGACATATGTACTTGCATACAAGCACACACACACACAACCACAATGCGGACAGAGGACAACAGCAGTGAAAGGACTCACCGCAATTTCCGGTGGCGCATAACGGACACAATCACCAGCATGTTGCCCAGGATGGCGGCCAGTATGATGAAACCAATAATGAAACACTTGACGAAGACGAATGTCAGATGTGTGCTGCCCTCGGCATCGTCGTCGGCAGCGGCGGCACTGGCATTGATGTCCTGTCCTCGGCCAGACACAACGTCTTCGATGGTGACCGAGCTGCTGCTGATGCTGATGCTGCTGCCGCTGCCGCCGCTTCCTGCACTCCCAGCACCGTCGTCCACGAGACCGTCGGCAATGAAATTCAAATATCGGGCATGTGATGCCGAAGCCTCCAGCAATGGCATCGGTACGGTGAATGGCTCTAACTGCAACTGGAACTGTGACTCCTTTGTCCTACTGATGGCGTTACTGCTGCTGCTGCTAAAGCTCCCCTCGAGAATTGTCCTGGCCGTGCTGGCTGCCGTGGATGTAAGTCTTTGTAAGAGCGTCATAGTAGACACCACAATCCGTATAGTACATATGTACGAGTACGAGTACGAGTACGAGTACGAATACGAGTAAGTGCTAGTGTTCAGTGGCAAAAGCCAATGCAGCTGTGGCCTTTAAATGGGAACGACATGAGGCCCGACATTTGCTCTTTCGGATTCAATGAATGCTATTATGGCCAATCGTTTGCCAAGTCCTGCAATTGAAAAGATAAATGATTGATTTAGTCATATTTCTGTAATGCCTTTGCCCTGAAAAGAGCAACTCGAGTCTCGAGCCATTCTCTCAATGGTGATGAATGGGTGAGTGAGTTTTATTCTGAATAGATATTAGTAATGATACTTAAATAAAACAAGTATAATACGCTCTTTTATACATTATTGCGGTTAAGAGGGCATTGGAATTTATTGATTTTCTCGGGCACAACCCATGGTTTCACGGGATGGGAATAGGAAGAGAAATTCTATAATTTATAGGATCTGCTTTAGCTCCGATACCATTCATCATGATAGAGTATGGGCACTTCTTTAAGGCTTCACTCAACATTTGATTCCTGTTTTGGAATTCCAGTGTCGCGTTCTGAATTCGATTTCCATTTACATTTGCATCAATTTGGCATTTGTTGTGGCAGTTAAATGAACCGCAACGTGCTGGCTATTTGTCTTCTATCAGCCATTCAGAAAGAACAGGCAGCGCAGGGCTGGCCCCCCTCTCATCTACCCAAAGGAGCAGCTTCAGTGGCATGGAACAATTTGTAGAACATGCAAATCTCAGAGGCAGGCGGCACACACCCAGACCCAGGCAGACTAGAGCAGACCCCCATAGTCAGTGGCAGAGTCAGAGTCGGAGTTAAGCCCATAAACACCTTGCGCCTTTGATGGCATTCCATGGGTATATAAATTTCGTTAGCCGCAGGCTCTGCGAATACAAAGCCGGGCAGACAATGAAATTGAAACCCACACAGAAAACACTTCCAAGTGCCCAGGGGTGGTGCGGCTGTGGCTGTGACTGTGGAGGTGGAGGTGGAGTAGTGTCTTAGACGTAATCCCACTCAATTGGTTTAATTTACCATAAACAGCTACCATGCCGGAGAGCCGTGAGGGGAGAATTGCCTCTCACTTTTGGGCCTAAAATTGACTTCCTTCCGTTGGTATGACGGAAGCAGCTGCTGCTACCATTCGTGCCTGCTGCTCGATGTCTCTCTCTCTCTCTCCTGGAGCTGGTCGTCGTCGTGGCTATATTTTATCATCAGCGGCAGAGGCTTATCATTAGCAAATGTCAATTTTCAAATTATGTACATTTATTTTGCAATTTGCTTGCCGCGTAATCGATGCCAGCCTCCGCCTCCTGCCACACGAATTTTTGGCAAATACTTGAGAGCCGAGGGGTATACATGTGGATGAAAGTAGGCAAACATTTGGGGGATTCAGCTCATGTAATTCCCATGTTAGACAAACTAAGTAAAGTTCAGCAGCCAAACAGGGAAGGGAGTTCTATTTATTTGTGTCTTCCATGTGTGCCATACATATGTATGTGTGGGGCGGGGGGAGGTCTCTCGGGAGATGGACCACCTCTGTTTCTCTCTGTGTACCTTCGGGGAAATGAGTTTTATGTGGTTTCTGCCCGGCACTGTGTGTATGACACTCAGTCACAAAGCGACCGCGACTGAAGTGAACTTTAAATCAATACAGAACAACAAATTGAAAGCCTGGCAGTCGCGCTTTTCCACTTTCCCTCGAGTCTCCTCTGGCTCCTCCTCTTAGGAGCCAAGTGCTTTTGTCAAACGCATTGTCAATACGTCATAAAAATAACAGCAAGCGAAAGCAAGACAGCGACAACAGCCTCGCCAGGGCCCCAACCCCAGAGCGGAAACACAGGCCCAGCCCGAGAGCCCAGCCCAGCCCAGGCCCACCAAGGGCCCAGTTTTCTGGATCCAGCCTTTGTCTGAGTGAAGAGCAGAGGTTGTTGGAAGGAAAAACCGTGGCACAATACATCATATGCAGCAGGTGTGGTGTGCTTCCCCGCACTCCATATTATCTGATATTTCTTTATAATGTTTTTCCTTTTTGCAGCGAGCATCCACCCAGATCTTGCCCGCATCTTTACCTTTTCCTCGAGCGACTTTTATTTGTGAAAGTATCTGGGATTTGGCAGCGCCTGTTTACCTTTGGGATTCATTCATTCGTTCGACCTTTCGAAGTTAGCCGAGCGTACAGTGGATGCAAATGCTGGGCATACGATAAAAATGGTTTTATGTGTTTAAATTCAGGGCTAAGCTGAAGCTGAAGGAGCGGACAAGCGGCCTCCTCAAGGTATCATCTTATTCATAAGTGATGTAATATGAGACCAACTTTAAATGCATCAATGATCAAAAGAAATGTATGCATTAGTCTAGTGATTCCCTCTCGACGACTACGATATAATCCCAATTGTGTGGTTTCCATGGGTCGAAATTCTACACCCATTGTGTCTGGCTGTGAATCATCTCCTTTGCGAGTTGTGCGACCCATTGTATGGGATAGGAGTTCCGGCGAGACTTTGGCTTGTTAGTTATTTATTCTAACTTATTCTTTGCTTATTTGAATTTGGCCTGTTTGCTTACAGCTGAGCGCACAAGCGATGGTGTTTGCTCTCTCCAAAAATCCCACACAAAGCCGTACAAATACATTTAGAATTTGTCGAATTTTTTCTTGCTGTTCTGCGGTTTATGTTTGGCTTGGATTTGGATTCGGGCTTGGGATTGGGTTTGGGTTTGGGTTTGGCTTAGGCTTTGGCATGGGTTTTGTCTCGCCCACAGATTGATGGTCAGCTTTAATTACTTTTCGAATGGCAGTTGGTACCCGCTTTTCTTGGGATTTAATTAATTTTTAATTTATACAAGAAGACAAGGGGTTTTTTTCTGCCTTTCATCCTTTCCGCTAATCGATTTGCGGCCCGAAAACGCCACTTAAGCATACGCACTTTGTCCTAATGGAGTGACCCAATGGAGATGAAGTCATTTATCATTGGAAGCATTACCCATAAGACAGGACAAAGGAAGCAAACTCATAAATACACGACCCTCCGCAAAGCGATTTAATTGAGTGCTAAAAGCCTTAAGACAAAGCCCCCCGGAACAAAGGCCGATCGAAGGGAATGAAATCGGGTCTGAAACTGTTGTCAACCGCCGAACAAATCGGACGAGGGGAACGGGTGTATCGAAGGGGGGGAACCAAACGGAAGGCGGAAATGGGAAAACGAATCGAGTCGAATCGAATGGCAGCGAGACGAAACTAATTGGACGCCTGGAAATATGCAAAGATAAATTGACAGCGGTCAGCCGCAGCAAAGAAACAAGGTCGCCTCTCCTCTCCTCTCCCGACGCGTCTGGGGGATCACCGAGGGGAAAACCAGAGTTAACTTTGTTTCGCTTATGTTTCGACCATTTGCCAAATCAAACAACAAAGGAAACTCAACAAAAATGAAAGAAAAATAAGAAAAATGAAAAGCGTAAAGCGAAAAGAGGTACCCGCCATACACCACCCAACACGACCACCCACATGGGTATACGTTCTGTGGGGGCTTTGGAGGCTATCAGGCAATCAGGCTGCCGGGGCGGAAGTGAAAGTTCAATTATTCATCTAGCCATCTTGCCAGTGCCTTCTTGCCTTCCTTATCCTCACACACACACCCACACACACACACAGATACATATTCATATGCTGGCCATCAGCGGTCTGGTCTTTTGGCCTTGTTCGCATTTACATTTTAAATTGCAGTATTAGGAGCTCTATTTGCATTGCTTCTGGCCTCAAATACGCGCTACTCATTCTCTAGCAGCATTCTTTTGTAAATTTGGCTTACATTACACACACACAGACACACACAGATAGGAATACCCCCGCACCCTCCCACAGACACACAGACGGACAAGTTTTTGGCCGAAAATAGATGAGCATTTTAGTTGGCATTTTTCAGGTTGGCATTTTTGAGGCTTGACAGCAGACAGCAGCGTTGACAGCTGCTCCAGCTCTTGGTCAGCTGCCGCTGCTGTTGCTGCTGTTGCTGCTGCTGCGGTTCCTGTGGCATTGCCGGTTCCGAGCCCTGCCTGTCTGAATAATGAACTGCATAATTTGAGCCAAATTTTCGTCCAATTTCAGGCCGCCTCCGAGTCCTCCTCCTCCTCGCCTGCAGGCGGAAAATAGGAATTACAATTTCAAATATGCATGAATGCCAAATGTCAATGATATACAATTATGAGAATCCAATAACCGCACATTAATAAATGTACATATTAATTATAGACTAAAAGTCGCCACAAATCCAGGCCTAACATATTTTTCAATAGACTTTTGCAACATATTATGTATATTTATCAATAACCACAGTAGTACGGTAAAGTCAGGGACTTTGCAAACATCCAGCGGGGGGAGAGAGAGAGGTGGTATCCATAGAGTGGCCATATCGTATGGCAAATAAATTTCTTAAATTTGCAGTAATTTTATCTGCTTACCAGGACTCCCTCCGCTAATTAGATTGCATTCTTGTCTAGCGGAAATTGGGTCAGACATTAAGAAGCGCCTCGGCAAAGGGGCAGGGGCGGGGGCAGGAGCACACACTACAGCCCTGCCAGCCTCTGCCTTTCCATAAAGTGGCGGTTATGCAATTTTTAATTAATTTCGATGCCTGCCGCAGCGGCAGCCGCAGCCGCTTCTGCTGACGCTGCTATCCGCACCCTCCCACATACACACACACACAGCCATCTCCCAGGAAAAACTCTATGCTATATGGATTCTGTGTGTGTCTGCAGTTTGCCATTTGCATTGTAACTGCATGCCATGGCAGTAGATCTCGGGGCTCTTCCATCCATCGCTCATACTCATAGTCAGAATCAGACTCGTACTCGTAACTGTTGAATATTTGAGCATATGTGAACACGGACCGAGCACCGAACACCGAACAGCGAGAAGCAGGACTCGAGCTCCCCATTGCGATCCATGATGCATGTGACCCTGCTTCCGGCGGGTTGTTTATAACATTTACACGGTTACGGTTACGGTTATGTACTGTACTCCTGGGTTAAAGCCAAAAAGTGTGAAAATTGTTTGCCCACATGCCCTGGGTCCTCTTCTTACCAGTGACGTAGGGATGGGACTCTGGCGGGGCTCTGTCGTTGGGTTGACCAAATTTACACACGCACCAGGCTGTATTAAAATA